CGCAATGCCAAAGGTGGTTATGGTGGTCTCTTCTCTGTCACATTCCACTCTCAGGCCGAGGCGATTGCCTTTTTTGACACCATCGAGGTTTTGAAGGGACCCAGTCTTGGGACTAATTTCACGTTGAGGTGAGTATGCAGGCCCCCTTTGTCTTAGGTTTTGCTAATTTTTCAGCTCTCCGTACGTCCTCCTGGCTCATTATGGTGAATTAGACTGGGTATATACACCGCTCGCATGTTGACCAGGCCATAGCTAACATATGTCAGGCGAGGTCCTTCAGCGTTGATCCGGATCTAGTAAGAATCAGTGTTGGATTAGAAGAGGTGACCGATCTGCGTGCCAGGGTGCAACAGGCTTTGGACGCAGTGCAAAGTGTTCGGCAGGCAAGTGCATAGTCTACCCCAATTCAATCAAAGCTGGCCTGTGCATTCTACACTCTGTTTCTGGGATATTCAAATCCGTAAATTGAAATATATCACACAATATGAAGCAGAATATCTTAGCTTATCACACTATGCTTCAAGAAAACGAGATTCTGCTCCGTGCCCTTCACTGCCCAACGCCAAACAGAAGCAGTTTGACCTGCTATAACGTACGATCTAGCGAATCATCTCCTATGATACTCACAGCCTGGCTTGTAACGCCCAGGTCTCCACTGGCAGTCTTTCTCAAAGCCTGTCGCATGGTTTCTACATTAAGGTCTCCTCCAAAACTGGAAGAGACTGGACTTTGGGCAGTAGTAGGGAACCGAGTGGGAGACATATCAGGCCCTCTGAAGGAGGTCGCAGTGCTTGTTGGCGGGGAAGTCCCAAGTCCATGCGAAGAAGACGGAGAGCGCAATGGAGACGGGGATTGGTTGAGATCTCCTAGGCGCTCCCGAGATGATGCGCCAGGGTGAGCTTCATTTGACTCTGCATGCTCGGCGTTCACAACGTCGGCAAAAGAAATAAAACTCAACCGACGTACATCTGTCATGTCCAGTGCTCTATGACTGGATGAGAGGTCATCTGCATCAGCCTGGCCTAAGAGATGATCGATGCCTGATGATGACATTGATTGTTCCCCCGACGCACCACCCGCTGCCTGATGTAGGCTATGCGTGACAATCTCGACCGAATCTGGATCGAGGCGATCGTCTGTGATCGCGGCCGAGGATGCCTCTAGGGCAGGTGGAATATAGTTATCGGTTCGAATATGCGCTGGTATTGACGGCGACGCCTGTGCTGACACCATATCTTCCTGCACATCTCGTTCGAATATCTGAGATGCGGGGGAGTGTATACGGGGCGGCAGATACGATGAGCTTTCGGGTGATGAGGGATGTCTCATGTATTTGGTCGAATCATTTGATGCTTGCAAGGCTTCAGACGATCTTACAGGTGATATGCAGCCTGTGTGGATTTGATTCTTGCCCCATGTGAATGCAGCAGGCTTCGGGGCTCGTGTACTCGCCCCAACCGCGTTTGGCTTCTGATCCGTCTGAACTGTAGAGTCCGACATGGTAAGATGAACTATCAAAATCCGGTCATCAAGAAAGTTGGGTAAATGGAAGTTAGTCAAAGAGTCTCAGCGATGACATGAGACACACGAGATCTCGGGGCCAGGTGATGGGCCCCAACGTACTAACGTACTTGGGGTAGATACTTGTATTCGGTACTTCAGTTTATACTGGTTGTCCAAAACATATCAAAAGTACTGGATACATTTAAATACGGTATTGTCAATACGGGCCAAGGGGAGGTCACGAGACCAGGGGAAAAAGTTCGGGTTCGAAGCGCGAGAGATGCCAACACGAGTCCTTCAACCCCAAGTTCAGTCTTACCTTTAGGTCAGTACCCCATCATCAATACTGTATATCAACTTTGACTGACGGTTTCTTTTCGCTTATTCTAGTCTCTGATCAATTTCTTCCTTCCAATTGACCAGAGCAATGGCGACCTTCCTTGCCGCGACGAAGCGGCCATTGATCACATTGCCATTCCTTGTTCCCTCCTTGTCGGATTCTCTGGCAGTAGGATTTCGCCGAAACCAATCTTCATACCGACGAACTAAGCAGCGACTACGTGTGAAGCCAGACTCCTCATTTGACCCTTCTAACCTGGATCACGACCACATTATCCACAACCCGCCCTCCAGTGCTCCAAATGCCTACCACACCCCATCTAAATTCTTGCCTGCCGATGACGTTCGGAAAGCATCCATCCTTTCTTCCACCGTGACCTCTAATGCCGATGATCTTCCCGGTGTCTACAAGTCTATGCCCGAAAGAAAATATCACCTCACTCCTTCCGACATTGAAGAAATCCGCAATCTCCGCATGAATGATCCCATGACCTGGAGCCGAAACAAGCTTGCCAAACGTTTTGACTGCTCGCCTGTTTTTATTGCCATGGTTTGCCAGGCAAGCCCAGAGAAGAGAGAGATCCAGGCTCGGATCTTGGAGGCCGTGCAATCACGATGGGGTCCCAAGCGCCGTATGGCTAGAGAAGACCGCGAACTGCGGCGGGAGGCTTGGGGACGAGATGCATAGTGTTCGAGATCTCAAGGGGGGTCTGCGTTGTAAAGAAAAACCATGTATTCTAGCTTATTTCCAGCATTGTTTATGTATTCCATACCAAATTTTTTACTCTTTCGAATCAGCATCAAATTGGGTGTATATATATATATTCGGTGTGTATATCTATATCTCTATAAATCCAAGTGTAAAATGTAGAAATCTCTATGTCTCAGTTCTAAGCAACTAATCTACCCCCTTGTAGCATCTCGACTGTGTGATAGGACCAAAAAAAAAAAAAAATTACGTGATAATTCACCTAGACTCTCCCGGTTACCTCAGGGCAAAGACGGCAATGCCCCTCTTTCCTCGTCTTTTCAGATCTTTTCCCTCTCGGTTTCCTTCTCGTTTCTCTTCTCGATTTGTTTCTTCATCTTCTCTCTTCTACGGCCATATCAGTGATTCCAAAATGGCACCCCAGTTGGAGCCCTTTTTCAAGCAGTGAGTATGCTATCTGCTATTGTTAGAAACGAGAGACTGACAGTCAACAGAGTCGACGACTCGTCTAACGATTTCATCGAGCGTATGTGAAATGCTGGTGTGCTCTAGGTTCTCGCTGATTTTGGTCAAGGTCTACGGAAGGCGGTTGCGATCCCATCTATCTCAGCTCAAGATGAGAACCGACCAGATGTGTTCCGCGTGAGTTTACCAGCAGATATACAAAGACAGGGTCTAATCTTTCCAGATGGGCCAATTCCTTGCCGATGAGCTCACGGCTCTTGGAGCCGAGGTCGAACAACGACCATTGGGCAAGCAGCCTGGCAAGGAGCACCTAGAGCTCCCACCTGTGGTGGTTGCGAGATATGGTAATGATAAGAACAAGCGCACCATTCTAGTCTACGGACACTACGACGTACAACCTGCTTTGAAGGAAGATGGCTGGGCCACCGAGCCCTTTGAGTTGACAATTGATGAGAAGGATCGGATGTATGGCCGTGGCTCTACCGATGATAAGGGTCCCGTTCTGGGCTGGCTCAATGTCATCGATGCCCACCGCAAGGCTGGTATCGAGTTCCCTGTCAACTTGTTGTGCTGCTTCGAGGGAATGGAGGAGTACGGATCTGAGGGTCTGGATGACTTCATTCAGGCCGAGAGCAAGCAGTACTTTAAGGATACAGACGCCGTCTGTATCTCTGATAACTACTGGCTTGGCACTGAGAAGCCCTGCCTCACCTACGGTCTGCGTGGCTGCAACTACTACTCCATCAGCATTTCGGGTCCCGCTCAAGACCTGCACAGTGGTGTCTTTGGTGGCTCTGCCCATGAGCCTATGACTGATATGGTTAACGTATTGTCCAAGCTAGTTGACACCCAGGGTAACATTCTCATTCCGGGTCTCATGGATCTGGTGGCTCCCCTGACTGAGGAGGAGCAGACTCTCTATGGAAACATCAGCTACTCTATGGATAACCTCCACGAGTCATTGGGTTCCGAGACAGGTATCCACCCTACAAAGGAACGTACTCTGATGGCCAGATGGCGTTACCCCTCTTTGTCCATTCACGGTATTGAGGGCGCCTACTCGGCTCCCGGTGCTAAGACGGTCATTCCCGCCAAGGTCATTGGTAAATTCTCCATCCGTACCGTGCCAAACATGGAGAGCGCCGATGTGAACAAGCTGGTCTTCGACCACATCAAGGCTGAGTTTGCCAAGTTGAACAGCAAGAACACTATGGATGTTTGGCTGCAGCACGATGGCAAGTGGTGGGTTGCCAGCCCCAAACACTGGAACTTCTCGGCTGCCAGCAAGGCTGTTCAGCAGGTCTTCGGCGTTGAGCCCGATATGACCCGCGAGGGTGGAAGGTATGACTCTCTTTTTCCATTGAATCTTTTTTTTTTCTCATAGCTAACCATTGATAGTATTCCTGTCACACTGACCTTTGAGCAAGCCACCGGCAAGAACGTCTTGCTCCTCCCCATGGGAAGCTCGACTGATGCTGCCCACTCTGTCAACGAGAAGCTTGACAAGAGAAATTACATTGAGGGAACTAAGCTGCTGGGAGCTTATCTGCACTACGTTGCAGAGGAGGCTACCTCTTCATAAATATATAATCATCGACTCGATTTTCTTCAATTTCAATATTTTTCTTACCAAAATACAAGTCCTTTTATCAGTAACACTTGGCACAACATATGTGTCATATATATACACCACACACCCGGGCATCAGTAGGGAGAATAGCTATCACCATATTCGAAAAGGGTTGATTACTCGTATTACACTATTTAGGCGGGATACTCAAAACTCCTATGAAGCACAGCTAGCATAGAAAGTTCACTACCCAAGGGCCACCAAGGGAAGTCTAAGAAAATGAAGATGAAAATGCATCAATCGCTGTAGCGACGCTCGAGAATTCCAACGCAGACACCAAATTAAAATAGACGGGCACGAGCGAACAAAACGATAGAAAGAGCAAGACGCCGTCAAGTGCAAAGCGATTCGAGATTAGTTGCTACGTATCCGTTAGTATCCCGGTTCAGAATATCAAGCAAGAGGGTCAACTTACTAGATCTCCAGAGGAGAAATCTGATCCAAAGCATAGAGCCAGTTTCCACCTTGCTCCTCTTTCTCGAGCCTGTGAAGATAGTTCGTCAGTATATCCTCATGTCCAATGGAAGCAAAGTTGAGACATACCAGTCATAAGGCCACATAATGAGATGGCCTTGAGTATGGTTAAGGAGGTCCTCCGCACGGCCCTTGTCCAAATACTCATCTGTGCCATTGGGGTCACGCTTCGAGCCAATCGTTGTAGCTCTGCGTCTACGTCTCCGAGACTGGCTCGTCGAGTTGAGATTCAGGTTCACGGCTTCAGAGTAATCGACATGAGCCGAGGCGGTTCGTGGCTTCTCAATATCCTCACCGGCGACGACCCCATTGCCATCATTGGTCCCGTTCGGGGCTTTGCCTAACAGGTTTGAATCCGACATCGTCTTGAGTGCGGCCTTCTCATCGATAGATGATAACGTCTCCTGCTTCGCTAGCTGCTCAGACTGAGAACGACCAACTTCGTTCCAAGTTCCGACCTTCTCGTCAATCGTCTGGGGGCTCTTCGGGTCTGCCTGCGATCCTTCGGCCCTTGGGGTGATGAAAGACATCTGAGAAGCGATCGACATAGGAGAGCTGACGGTAGCACCGGATGGGGGAGGTCCACTTTGTTTTTGTTGAGGTTGGGATGGCTTGTTGCCCGGCTGGCTCTGCATCTCTGCAAAGCGCTCACCATATGTGGCGTACTCCTTGTATTCCTTCCAGTTCTTGACCTCACTGTCGGGCATGCAACGGAACACAGATCGGTAAATTTTGGTGTTTTTCTCGGCGACGGCTTGCCATGTGTCCAGGTAGAAGCCATCGATGATCGGGTCCCTCATGCAGTCGTTGTCGATGAAGACACGCTTAAGGTCTGGAACAGACGGGTGGTTCTGTTGAGCGGTTCCATTTTCTTCTTTCGGGATGTTCAAACCGGTACCGCCAGCCTCGGACTCGCGGCTCAACGACCCATTAACCCCATGGCCTTGTGATGTGGTAGTCGCATTGATGTCGGGGTCGCCATCAGTCTCGCTCGATGACCCAGGTCTGCGGTCCTTGCTGGTCGAGGGTGTTCGAGTTGGCTTTTGCTGCGACGATCTCGGTCGCTCAACAGTACCCTTCCCCTCAGAAGCGATGGGTGAAAGCAGCGCTTCTCTTCCATTGGCCTCCATATCCGAATCACGACCCACTACTAATCCAGCCCGAGCAGCGGCTTTCAAATGATCGGGCCCATCACCTTCCACGTCTTTCCTGTGATCAGGATTTTCAGTGACGCGAGGGTCGGTAGTGAGCTTACGGTTCGATTTGAGGTTAGGGTTACTACCCTGCTCCCAATCGACATCATGGTTGAAGCTGTACATGTCCTCGGAGCGAGAAAGGAACTCATCTTGGACACGATGCCGACGTTCGACCATCTCCCTCTCATCTTGACGTTCGGTGGCTGAGGCCCCCGAATCTCTTCGCTCTCGGTTTTCAGCTGGACGATCACTCCCCTCGGCGACCTGGATTTTGCGCAGCTCTTCTTCAGTAGCAAAGTCATGTTCCATGAGTTCGTCAACATCAATTCCGAGATGTTCTCTCATCAGACGCATGCGCAAGGTATGTGGGAATCGACCGACGAGATATGGTTTGCCATTCATGCTCGACATGATCATATCAGTGTCTCGCACAACAGATGCAACCTCTGAATCACGCGAACCCAACATGGATCGTTCGTTGATGTTTGCTGATCCGATGATAGCAGCGCGGTCGTCAACGACCATGCATTTAGCGTGAATATAAAGTTGCTCAGTCACCAGTGCCTTTTGAGGTCCAATCTTGCCCCAGGTTCGAAGACTGTAGAACTGGATATAGTCCTCTGGCTCAATCCCAAGAGCACGAAGACGGCCGAAAATGGAGGTCTCTCCACGGCAGATACTGCGGTATTGACACTGCATGATAAGGCGCACACTTGTTCCACCTTCACTGTCCACGGTGTTTTGGAAACCTGGCATCAATGGAATGACAATGACGGCACGCCATGCTTCCTCATTTTTGTCGGCTCGGACAATACGTTCAACTAGCGCATCTCCGATGAGATTCTCGATCTTCCGGCCCTCAATCTCGCAGGTGCTGATGAAGAACTGATTCTCGATGTAGACAAAATGTTCGGATTCCTCAATTAACTTCACATAGGCATTCATGATGCTGTGCTCGACGACGTCGGGTGTTCCTGTAGACCACATGCTGCTAGAACGGAGAATTTGTACCTCACAAGTTCCATCGAGACCCAAAGCTTCCAAATCAGCAGGATTGAAATCGGGTGGCGGCAAGAGGAAAGGCGTCGGGCGCGTAGGCTTTCGCTGGCGAAGAATGTAGTTCCAGCGTTGCACGAAGTGACGAGTAAGATCCCGAGCAGGCTGGCCCACGACATGCATAGAAATGTCATGCCACGGCATCCGGGGCACAACATTGCGATCATACATCTCCTCATACGGCTTATCTAGGTCATAGAAATCTTGGATTCTCGGATTGGAGTAATCCTTGCCCGGCCAGAGTTGACAATGATCCGCATCTTTGGGACCATCCGTAGTTTCAAAGCCAGTAGGCTTATCATCGGTCAATTGATGCTGAGGAGTATCCCAACGCCCAAAGCACAGATCGATACCTCCCACAAATGCGATAGTGTGGTCGATGAGGCAGAGCTTCTCGTGGTGGGCCCAGAAGAAAGTATTTTGCCGGAACTGATTTGGTGATCGTTGAACAAAGATATTGGGGTGAAGATCAAGGAGAGAAAACTTGGAATACTCCGAGTCAATGGGAATAGCGGAGTTAATGTTGCGATACATGATCACGAAGACTTTAACGCCCTCTCGAGCCTTCTGTTGCAGGAGACGGTCCAATCGCCATTTCTGGCTGATCGCAGCAGGCCGGCGCATGTAAAGCTCTGGACTCAACCACCAGTCATGGATATAAATGACATCCTTTGCTTGGTTAATTGCTCGTGAGACAACCCACATATGATCTCGTGCATCAACCAGCCACTGCGCAAAGCAGTTTTGTCGCACAGGCGCGAAACTGTCGAACCGATTGGGGCGCATCCACGGAGTATTGGTTACCATAAAGCGGATCGAGTCTTCAAACTGTTGGAGTTGACGCTCATTCCGGGCCAGTAATTTGAGCTTGCGTTCGGAGTTCTCAAGTCGGAGGGTATGATGCTGAGGGTGTCTCGCAGACTGCTTTGCAGATTTGGCAAGATCTTTTGGATTTTGTTTGCGAAGACTGAGCTTTGGTGTCTGGATTTTGAAATGGGAATCCACCAGGAAGACATCATAAATATTCATTTCCTCGGGGAGTCCACACAGACCACATAACTGTGCCTGACCAAAAACCACTTGGGCGAATGGCGCTTCTTGACCATAGCTGGGGTGAGCGCCTTTCGGAAATCAAGACCCTTGGAGGACTGGATAATCAAGAATCCTTCTTTGCCATGGTAACTGCCTTCTGCAGCCAGGCGAACGCCTAGAGCGGACAATTCCAAGAATTTGCACAGGCGATTGCTGTCAGCCCTAAAGATCAAGAATCGAATCATCTTTTGCAGATAGAGCTCAAGCTTCTTTCGCTGCTTCTCAGGGTATGTTTCTTTTCTTCCAGACGCACCTTCATGGGTGGACGAAGGTCCTGCGGCTGAGTCTCCCTCTTGGTTGGTGATGCTGGACTTTCTGCGAACAAGCGGGGCAGAGGGCCGACGCTGGTGTGGTTGATGACTCTGCTTTTTCTTCATTGGAGGCCTCTCTGTTCCACTCATCCCCTCCGCGCCAGTCTCATAACCGCCTTCTTCATCTTCGTCCTCGAATTCACTTTCGAGACCTCGCACACCTCGCATGTAGGGGAAGGCACTTCGAGGAAATCGAGGTAGACTTGGGCTGTTCTCACTCGTGCGTAGCTGAATGTACTTCTGGGTTCCAAGGTGAAGCTTATACTTGAGATGCAGATTGGCAAAGTCCCTCAGCGTGCGGAAAATGATCCATTTCATGCGAGTCATGCCACTTCCGTACTCCATTTCGATTCGGAAAACCAGATGGCGATCACCGGAGTGGGAATCAATCCGACTGTCCGTAACACGAACCTTCAATTGCTCCAAAAGAATCGGGATTCTTCTGCTGCCGTGCTCATCTCGTTGGAACGCGCTAGCCAGTATAAGCGCAGCAGGCACAGCCGAAGCGAGTTCAGCAAGCAACTCTGCGGATTTTTTATTGTCCACTGTATTTTCTGGCTTTCGTCGCTGGCCAATGAGTTTCAGACCAGCTTTGATTTGCTTCCATCGCTGAGCACTGGCACTGGTGCCTCGCTCGGTTCGATGGCGTCTCCAGCTCGCCGTTAAACTTTCGTCGTTTCCAGACGCTCCAGCGAACCCAGTCAATCGCCTCAGGTTGCTCGGCCGTTGTTCGTCCGGGTTGGCATCGGGGTGCCGGTCAGTATAGCTACCAACCCGAGTATTTGCCCACGGGCGGCTCCTCATCCGTCGGCTAAGCCTTTCACGGCCTTCATCCTCTGAAACACCTTCACGTTGTTGAGGTATGAAGTCCGTAGTGCTTGCCCTTCGGGGAAAGAGATTAGTACGGTAGTTCTCGAAAGGTGCAAAGGAGGATGAGAAATGGAATGACGGTCTGCGCGTTGTTTTAGGTGTTGTAGGGGCGGTGTTGGAGCCATTTTCTTCCTCCCATTGCTTCCGCCGCCGTTGCGTCTTTCTTTTTCACGAGGATCCCGTTGCTCGCCACCGCTCTCCTCCGCGTCGGCATCGATCTCGCTGCCTTCTTCTTCCAGTGGCTCTGGGAAGCGGAATTCCCCCTTTCCGACCCCGGGGTGGCTATGTCGCCTGGAGCTGAGCGGAAATCCGTACTCGCGCCGCTAGGAGATCGTGAATGTGACGAAAAATTGGGTCCGCTAGCGAGTAGCTTCAGTTTACCGAATAACGACTGCTTTCCTTTGGGACCCTGGTCATCGTCGTCACCGTGTTGGGAAGCGGGCCGAGATTGTGGCCGGGACTGGGACGCATCGGGAGCTTCGGTATCTGTATCTCTGAATTGTACACTTGGGGCACGGGAGGGAGGGGACATTCCGGGGTTAGACGACTGGTGTTGATGGCGACTCCATGGTTGGTGGTCCTCGGCTGAGCGGTTTGGTGGTCGAGTGCTCAGGGATGACCTGCCTCTCGGTGAGCCATGCTGCAAGGATGATGGACGCGCATTTTCCTTGTCGCCTAGTATTCCACCTGTTTCATGATCGTCCGTGGGCTGGATGGGTTGGGTGGGCTGGGTCTGCTTGATCGAAGCTGGTTTCTTGGGTTCGGTGGGAGACGGCAACGGAGACGCCAATTTTGATATGTTTGAAGCTAATAGGAGCTCTTGCTTCTTTGTGTCGACCTTCAGTGAGCCAGTTTCCACATCTTTGTGAACTGAAGAGGCCGACATGTTTTGATTCTGGTAATGCAAGATGATCAGCTGTAGTTCATAGGGTCAACCACTTTTACGTACATACTTCTATCAAAGACTAATCCTTGTCATCATTAAACACGGAAATCCAGGGGATAAAGAACGTTGACATTAAAAGGAGCATACCATAAATTAGTTTACAGTGGAGTTCCCAGCTGTTCTCCGACTGGAGAAGAAGCGGGCGGTCAGTTTGGAAAAGGGGCACTGCACGTTTACGCCTGTTGGTGGAGTATCCATCTAGTATTTAGTGTATAGTATGTAATATGGAGTATACAATGAGAAATATTGAATTAAATCAAGTCAAATTCAAGGGTATTTATATATTACAACATAAAATGAAGTGCCCATGTATGACCTCAATTGAAGTTATTGGAGTACCATGCTGGAATTTAGATATATATATACATATGTCTTAAAAACAAAAGGAAATTGATATGGAATGAAGAAAATGAAGAAAATCTTACAAACTACATCGTAAGAGCTTCCAATATACTCTCGGGACCATATCAAATATCCAAGGCTTACTCCATATAAGACCTCGGCTTTGCGTAGTATACCCGAGTCGCCTTTATCTCCCCACCAACTAAACCATCTCTCTTCAACATATTTCACATTATATTTTGCATTCTCCATATCTGCTCAACCACCATGACTGATCCATTAAAGTCCTTTGACGATTCAGGTAGGCCCATGCCGGCCGCCATATCCCAGAAGGTCTATGCAATTGCCGGTATTTCAACAACGGTCTTTGGTCTGGAAGAACTCCGCAAAGAGGCCTCGGAGGTCGCATGTCTCTGGCTTCTTCATCCCAGATTAGCCACTCAGGAGCGTATGACAAACATCGCGAATTCTGCCATCACCGATTGGAACACTAGAAATCGGGACACGCCCTCGGCTAAGGGCCTGATTGCTGTCTCGTTCGACCAACGAAACCATGGCACCCGGATGGTCGACCCTCTTGCCAATGAGACTTGGAGAAAAGGGAACCATCGGCATGCCCAGGATATGTTCTCCATCTTCCGTGAGTGAAATAATCCGTAAAATAAGATACAACATTCTGACTATAGCTAGAGGGCACTGCAAAAGATACATCGCTGCTCATGGACTATCTTCCCTCCTACACATTCCCCAATGGTGAGCATAACATCACCGAGAACCTGGTTCTCGGAGTGTCACTGGGCGGACATGCAGCATGGAGCTGTCTACTGCACGAACCTCGAGTTAGCGCTGGGGTTGTCATCATCGGCTGTCCGGACTATATCAATCTGATGGCAGACCGCGCGCGGCTGTCGAAGCTGCCATCATGGACCAAGAGTGACCCACCTGGCGCCGAGGTCCTTGGCTCAGAAGCCCTGCCAACTTCTTTCCTAGAAACCGTCAGCCGATATGACCCTGCCGGTATGATGCTGAAGCATGTAGATTGTGGGCCATCGACTGGTCCTTTGCGTGAAGGCCCATTGCCTCAGCCTTCAGAAAACGAGCAGCAGGTACTCCGGCCGCTGCTGACTCGTGCCCTGGGTGGTAAACGCATTTTGAATCTCTCTGGTGGCAAAGACAAGCTTGTTCCCTATCATCGCGGAGAACTGTTCCTCAACTGGTTCAAGCAGACTATCTCCTCCGATGGGTGGTTTGGTGATGGTGCGGTGTCCTTCGAAGATATCATTGATCAGAATGCGGGCCATGAGGTCACTCCCAAAATGGCCGACGAGGCTGTTCGATTTATTAGCGAGACGTTGGCTGCGGGTCCCGATAAGGCGGGTCGACGGGGTTCAGTGCGAGAGTCGAAGATATGAGCACCTTGCGATGGTGATTTATGTCTACAATATATAAAGAAATTAGATGTGACATGACAGCCTTGGAAGACCAATCATTCTTGTAGTTCTGCAATTGTAATCGGACAGATTGGTAGACCCCAAATCTACAAAGATGACCGTAGCTTTAGCAGCAAATTTGCGCAACGCCTTTCATGCATCGACAACGCAGTCTCGATAATCCTACATGAGCATGGCCCGTTCATTCAGGGCACTCTACCCTCAAGGAGTCATGACAGTGGGCACGCATGAACAACAAACTTTTGAAAAAAATCCTCCTTATGGTATTTGTTTAACACACTGATGAAATCGTAAGGGCATTCGGAGGCCATATGCTATGCTGATTGCATACAAAAAACCCTTTTTATTTTCGACCGCCCAGACCGACTTGGCTTCGGTTCGGACAGATCTCATTTTGAGTTCCGATCGTCCTCCATGCTGGCGAACGAACACAGCTAGGGCTTCAAATTGCCCCTATTCACCCGCCCTTCTCCAGAAATTCCTCGACGAATCAACGCTTATGCGACGAGCTCAACAACACCACCGGCGGCCTTGATCTTCTCCTCGGCGTCACGGCTGACGTAGCGGGCACGGACGACGACGGGAATCTGGGGGAGACGACCCTTTCCAAGAACCTTGGAGAAACCGAGGGGCAGGAGGTCAATGACGGGGGCGACATCGGTCTTCTGGCCGCTCAGGTAGGCGTCGCGCTGCTCAGCGGGAACGAGGGACCAGAGCTGTAAAAAAGAAAGTCGCAGTCAGCGAAAGTTGTCCTTCTCGATGTTCCGTAATCGTTCATATTCTTGTCGATTGGCCTCCCTCCTCTTTTCACATTTTCGTCATTTGCGCATCTCCACACCCAGACCAATCCACTGTTTCCTCCCCTTCATATCGAATCGACTCGCAAGATGTAGATATAACGTACCTTATCGACGTTGATGGTGGGCTTCCAGAATTGCTGGTTGGTCTTGTGGAAGTAACGCATACCGACCTTACCGAAGTAACCAGGGTGGAACTTGTCGATGTTGGTACGGTGGTGGTGTTGACCACCGGCCATACCGCGACCACCGGGGGACTTGCGGTGCTTGCCGACACGACCGTAACCGGCAGACACATGGCCGCGGCTGTGAGAGAATGAGAGGTTAGTGATATGTTGGTGTGATATTGCGACGGGTTATGACGAATGTGACTCTTCTGGTCGCGATCGACGAGAAAAGAATTCGATTCAGACGGCACAGGAAAGGATGTCGACTCACTGCTTCCGGGTGTTCGAGAAACGGGTAGGCATCTTGTCGGCGGGGGTGTTTCGACAAGACCGTTGATGTTTGGCGTTGAAGGGATCGTTCCGTCTACAGGATGTTGAAATCCAGGCTTAGAGTGTGCGCTAACAAATTCGCTTGTCCCGTGATCGAAAAACCCTAGCCCTGACTTTGTCAGAACTTATGTCATGCAATAGCGTACACCGCCTATCTTTCTGCCGGTCTTTCACAACATAGGGCTTTTCCAAGGTCACATGCGCAACATACATCTACGCATACCAAAGGTCTATTGAGAACGAATTTTGTGTAAAATATGATGCTGTATCTTTTGTGGTTTTTTTTCTTCCTTATTACAGTGACTATTGCGCTATCGCCTTTTTTTCAGCGAAGAATTTTGCAAGTCTTTGCACGGTCATCTGAGCCGCCCGCGTGGGAGGTGCTGTGACCAAGCTTTCTCTAATCCAACCAGGCAGTTTTTGCTGGATCCGAGGTGATTCGTAACGGCGATCGATCATGATGATAGCAGCATAATCGTTCACATGCCTGATGGCTCGACCAATGCACTGGTTCACCGCTCGCATGCACGAATTCTCGTAAAAGTCTCTGCCTGCTGCCTTGCCTGCTGCCTTCCTTTCTGGCTCGGATCCAGAAGCGTCCTTATAGGCCTTCTCCTCGAGATACTGGATTTTGGCCTGCCAGATAGCACTGCGAATATTGGGAAATGGTAGGCCGATGATAAAAACGCCGCGCCCTAGCTTGTCGGAGAAATTAATGCCTTCTGACAACTTGCCGCCCACGATAGACAGAAGCAAGGCCCCTGATCCCGATTCAACGGCCTCGGTATACTCCCGCAGGAGATCATCTGTAGTTGTCACTGCCTCGCGAGATTCATAGAGAATCTTCTTCTTCCGTTCCAGTAGACTGAGGGTGCTTTGACCGCTGCTGTTGGGAATGGGCTTCTTCCAAACACTCAGAACATGACTGAGATAGTCATAACTGGGGAAAAATGCGACAACCCCGTCTGGGATGACTTGACAGAGGGTTGCTATCGTACGGCCAAGGTCGGTGATCTAGTCAATATGTAAATAAGAGCCCTTTTTGATGTATGAAACTTAGTGTATGTACCATTTTTTCAGAACTTCGTGCCTCGTATGTAAAATTAAATTCGTTTCCCATTAGCCCTTGCGTCAAGGACTGCGCCACCAAGTTGGATTTTGGTATGACGTGACCATAGCTGAATGTCCCTAGTCGCTCTGGGGGCAGATATGAAAACAAATGATTCACATAGTCTGACATCTGTTGAGAGCATTAGAGTGCTAAAATGTCAAAAAGTATGAGCCATACTTACAGGAGACATAGTACCACCAGCTAGAATGACGGCCCTAGCATCTTCGGCAATTTCCCGAAAGTGGTTCGTAGGGTCAAGAAGCATGTATTTCAACAGAACATCGTCCTGGCTTTTCTGAAAGAAGAGCCGCCCCTCTTCCGAAGGGTTCATAAGAGGGAGAAGAAAGCTTTGAAGATGAAATAAAACCGGCATTGATGTCTTGTCTTTGGCCTGCCCAGGTTGTGGCTGTTGCGAGGATTCAAGATAGCCATCAACTTTCCGGGCGAGCTTGCTCTCTTGCAGATATCTAGAGAGTTTGTAAGGGTTGATCTGGTCAACTCCTTTTCCAGCCATGAGATTTGACGTTTGTACCGAGCCTTCCAGTGGTCCTTTTTGTAAAGAGATTGACTTCATATGCTCGGCAATGGAGCTTACCAACCGAATGACTTGTGCAACATAGTTTCGATTCTTTCCTTTTAATCTGTTCTTGAACTTACGGGCATATGTTGTCAGCTGCCCGATGGCAGTCTGCAGTTGACTTAGTGAGATAGTCACCGAATGAATGCCAGCTATTGCATCCATGAGGTTGTGGGCTTCATCGATGATGACAATATGACCTTTGACGGAGATATTGAGGGCCTCGCGAGCCGATCTTTGCAGTAATAGGGGATATGGAAGTGTGACGATCTGGTATTGAGTTAGAGCCAACATTGTACCTATTCCCGAGTGGAACAAACCTCGCTGTGTTTGATGACTGGACGAGATGCATAGTAGGGGCATATGCCAAGCTTTTTCCCAACCTGGGCAATGTCTTCTATATCCTTGACTGTGGCCAAAGTATGGTCCCTGAACTCAAGAGCCAAAGCCTCGTCATCTTTGGAGGGGATAAAGGAACACTTCTTGTCGGCTGCTACACCGGCTTGCTGTAAATCCAAACACTTTTCGTTAATTGCTGTATTGTTCTCCAGAGCTCGGACTTTGGAATTGATGCACAGGTTCTTCCTTGACCCTAGCGACAGGTGTTTCACCTTCTCTTCCAGTTTGGAGAGGTCATTTTTGCTCTCTGGATCGATTTCGCTAGGTATACTGGATGGGAAAGTGACTCGTCGCAATTCACCGGCAAACTGACTCAGCTGAGAATGTGTTCTTGAGCAAAAGAAGATTTTGATCTCATCATCTCCGTCATCTTCTTTTTCTTTATTTGCCGAGAATTTCCCCTGAAACCGTTCGAGTAAGGCTAAAGTGCTTGCAGATAGGCCATCGGAATTCGCAGATTTGATCTGCTTGTTCGGATTGTCGGTGTCGCTATCATAGTCATCGAGAACAAATTGATCATCATCGACTGGCTCCGATGCTGAGTCGTCAAGTCGCTAGGTCTCTAATTGGTAAAGTGTTCTTGCACCAATCGGGGAATCATATAGGCATACCTGCTTCTTACGGGGTCGGTCTGCGCTGTCCTGGGATTTCAAACGTTCTTCCTCTCGAATTTTGGCCAATCGGGCTTCGAATTCTTGTCTCTTTTCAGTAATGGCACGCCTGGATTCCCGTTTGGCATGTTCTATCATCCACTCGGGCTCATCATCATCGTCTGAAAAGTCAGCTGAGATGTCATACCTAGGTATGTTTCATAACCGGGGACTCACATGTTGCATCGACCGTTTCTTGAAAAGCCTTTCGCTTGTGATCTCGAAGCCAGGTCAAAGAACCACAGATTAAGCTTAACGATTTTCCAGTCCCTTTAAAAAGATACGCATTAGATAGATATCAAGACATCAAGCACCGTTTCTTACCGGTAGGGGATTCAAATACGGCGATCTTGCTCTCTTCTAAGCAGGTATACAAGGCCTGCATAAATTGGAGTTGAATGTCATATGGAGTATATGGATGGTGGAAATCCATACCTATGCCTGAAGATCTTAAAGGAAAGGAAAAAAGGAAAAGAGAAGGAGAAATCATTTACGGGTACAGATACAGATACATTACCTGAAATATAATACATATGTATAGAAGAATCAAAAAGAGATACTTATAGTCCTAAATAGGTACGTCCTCCGTATCGTTTAAAGATCTCTTATACTCTAAGTCTTATACCTCCAGGGCGATGTCAGTACACCATTTATACTCCAAGGCTATTAATAAACATTCACCGTTTGACCTGGTGGGGTTCTACTTTTCCTCTAACATTGAACTTCTCCCTTTTCTTCTTTTCAATCTCCTCCCCTTTCTTGAACCTATGAACTTCTGGGGATCCTAAGAATTTCCTTTACAATGAATAGACCGGGTCAACAACGCCTAGGTGCGACTTGGTATCCAGGGGGGGCAAGATGACTTCTACATGCCAGAGGTCATATCCCCATCTCCTCAGAGGTAGGACTTTGTTTTAAAATATCTGTCTTCAAAAATCTAATGCCGAAAATACGTGTACTAATTCACTCTAGAGTGATGCCAGAAGTGCCTGAGAATATGCAGGACAATATTGCTGAGATGGAATATCGCGCGAATGACCCCCGCCGGCAACAACCGTACCAACGCGCCCAGAGCTATCCCGAGCGCACTTCCTCCGCTGCTCAGGGTCCCCCGCCCCAACACGATCAAGTGCATGATCCCAGCTCCTATGCCCAATCTGCGACCTATGATAGCATGGATCACCCCAACTTTTCACCTTTCCCGGTCTTGCGGAACCCTCCACCCAATGTCCCGCCTACCGATGAACAGAGAGAAGCGAACCTAGAGCGCGCACGGATGGCTGTCCTGTCGACCACAGACCCGGAGATGCAACTCGCATGGGCCTTGGATGCTCTCGCCTTTGTCGAGGTCGCCGCACAGAACGATCTCCGCCTCCGTTTGACTCAACCCCCCACGCCCGCAGACCCCACAGGTGGAGCGGCAGCTGAGGGTCGACGCGATGAACATCGTCGGTTTTCTAGCTGAGCAGCGCCATCCTAAAGCGGAGTTCATCAAGGGCATGTGGCTCGAGTTTGGCAAATTTGGCTGCCCCGTGGATCGCAAGGAGGCATTCCGATCATACTCCCGAGCCGCTGAGAAGGGATATGCGCGTGCCGAATACCGGATCGGAATGCAGTTCGAGAGCTCGGGTGAACCTGAGAAGGCAATCAAACATTATCAGCGGGGTGTTGCGCGGGCGGATTCTGCCTCTTACTATGTGGGTTATCAGATACACTGCACAGGGAAGTGGAGACTAACATATTGCAGCGCTTGGGAATGATGATTCTTTTGGGTCAGCATGGACAGCACCAGGATTTCAACACTGGGTTAGAATACATTCGGCTGGCGGCGCAGTCCTGCGACCAGAACGCACCTCAAGGTGCATATGTGAGTTCTCCTCGAATTCTTACCTTGCAGAGCATTCTAATGAAGAAAAGGTATACGGCATGCTCTTGGCTCGAGAGCTCCCTCAAGTGAGCGTCCCGGAAAGCTTCCTGCCCCTTGACCTGAACTTAGCACGTGTCAATATCGAAAAGGCGGCATATCATGGGTTTGCCAAGGCTCAGGTCAAGATGGGTGCTGCATATGAACTCTGCCAACTGAACTGCGATTTCAACCCCGCGCTATCTCTGCATTATAATGCACTGGCAGCCCGCCAGGGTGAGCCCGAAGCCGAGATGGCCATCAGTAAATGGTTCCTGTGTGGACATGAGGGTATCTTTGAGAAGAACGACGAGCTAGCATTTACATACGCTCAGCGCGCGGCCCAGAGCGGCCTTCCGACAGCTGAATTCGCCCTGGGTTACTTCTATGAGGTTGGTATATATGTGCCGGTGGATATCAAGGAAGCTCGCTCTTGGTACGCTAAGGCCGCTGCCAGTGGCAACAAGGATGCATCTGGTCGAATTGAAAGCATTTCGCGCTCAAAGACTTTGTCTAGAAAGGACCACGAAAAGATCGCAATCTCACGCATCAAGTCGACGCGGTATACTGCTCATCAGCGAGGCAATTCACTGGAAATGACCCCAGAGAATATCCAAATGCCAGATCCGTCGAGAATGACCTTGTCTGATGGCCCACCATCTGCAGCTCCTTACCCCGATCGCCCTCACTCTACTCGTCCACGGCCTCAACAGGGTTATCAGCTGTCAGACGCTCGCCCAAGCTCTGCTTTCGGTGTCAATCCCAACCTTCGATCCAATGCACCCTCGGGATATGGCGGTCCACCTTCCCAGGGCCCCGGAAATCGAACTCCGTCCTATGGGCCTGGCGGATCCATGAACTACCGCCAGTCTGGCCCTGGAACTCCTCTCAGTGCCCCTGCTGGGCCTGTAAGCCCCCAGGCTAATAACATGATCAGCCCTGGCGGAGCTCCTCGTCTCGATATTGGCTATTCTGCACCAATGCCGCCTCCAGGTGGGCGACGCCCACCTCCTCGACTTGACTCGGCCCCAGAACGCAAGCCTCTGAGACCCCCCGTCTCAGGCCACCCCGGTTCGCCCTCATTTCCTCCGCGTATGGAGTCCCGGCAACCATCTCACGGTTCAGGTCCCTCTACACCTCAGCCGGCGCCCTCCGTCGCATCGTCGAGCTCATCCACGCCGCAGCCCAAGCCAGCCAAGCCGCCAAGCAAGGGACCCAAGACCTTTGAAGAGATGGGTGTTCCCAGTGCGAATAAAGATAGTGATTGCGTATGTAAACCCTACTTTTTGGCCATTGAACTCGAATCAAAGCTAACTTTTGCAGATTGTGATGTGATACCCCGGGATCTGTTCCCTTTTTATCCAAGCATTTCTGGCTGTCTCCATTCGATTTGCATTCCCACTACTTTCTATAATCTCGGGGTCCTAAAAAAGTTTCGCCGTCCGAGAGGCGAATGGTCTCACCAGGTCTCCTCCTTGTTTCCATGTAACTGCATTTGCACCCATTCCATCTCTGCCTTGAGCTTTGTTTTTTTCCCCCTTGGACATATTATCATTTGGTTTGTGAGTTTGGGCATGAATAAGATATCAGGAGTAGCTATGGATTTATTGTTATGATTTTTGAAAGCTCAAGCTCTTCTAGTTGTAGCGTCACTTCTTCCACGTGAGGCCCGCGGATGTGAACTTCATCTGCCCAGTGCAACTCAGTGCAACTCAGTGCAGCATTTTTGCAACCATTATACGTATCATGGCCCCGCGTAAGCCCAAGAGTGATGCATCTGCCGGAGATGGTAAATTAGACACTCTACGGATCAAATCTTCGAGGCTGACTGCTGACTTTGCCCGCAAAGATGCTTCAATGATTCAGGAATATCTTCGTGAGTATCCAGGCAGTATCTGGATCTTGAGATATGTTCGCCCAATGACTAACTTGACGAGTTTGCAGGCCAGCAAAAGTATGTTGACTCTGATAAGTAGTCTCTATACTCAGAGTGGCGGCTAACATCGCTCGGCACAGTCGCCCCTATTCGGTTCGCTCCCTCCTCACGGCAGCTCTAGGGATAATCCGTTGACCAGCCATTGTTTAGGCCATCGATGTTTCTGCAAACCTTCACAACAAAGTGACCAAAAGTGAACCTGTTTCTGTTAGCCCGCCTATACTTGTCTAATATAGGGGTTTATATAGCGCAAGCCGCAAAGGTTCTCCGTGATTTGCACGAGAAGAAGGAGATCGAAGGAAGAGTTTCTGGTAGGTTGAGCATAGCGGAAGATAGAAACATACTAAACCAAACATATAGGTAAACAAACAGTCTACCATGCTCTACAAAATCCGTCAGACATCACAACCCCGGAGGTAGCCGCGGCTATCAAGCTTGACATCGAAAGCCTCGAGAGTGAGATTTTAACCCTGAAGGCAAACGAAAAGAAGGCCCGAGCAGCGTTAGCAGCCCTGCATGCAAAGCCTCGGATATCCGATCTCCGGCAGGCTATCGGCCGCCTTGAGTCCGAGGAATCGACGATCCAGGCTCGGGTGGCAAGTCGCCACGAGGAAGACCTCATTCATATATCTCCCGAAGAAAGAGAAAAACTTGAAAAAGAATGGAAGTATTGGCAACGGCATGCCAATGTGCGTCGTCGGATCTGTCGTGATCTTTGGGGACAATGCTCCGAGGTACTTCCGGAGGACATGACTGCGGCGGAGCTGTGGGTGAGTTTTGAGAATGATGAAATGACATAGCCCAAGACTATTCCATTGTCAATGCTCTGGAATTCTGACAAATATTTTTTTTATCAGGAATCTTTGGGGCTTGAAGGAACGCTCCAATAAGAGGTCCTCACGGAGTGGTGATCTTTCTAGTCCCCACTCGAGTTGTATCATTTGACACCTATAATGTACATACACCTCTTCACCCGGAGGGCTACCAGGAGACTCGAGAGATTTTAAGGCTCTGTATTCTTTTTCCGATGAAGATCTGATTCGGTATGCAAGAGTCACTGCATGGAATGGAGGCAAACCGGGGGAGGCGAACCGTGATCAGGTCATGTCATGAGGCTGTGATATTGTATAAGATATTGTATAAGATATTGTGGTTAGAATAATATTAATTTATACATTATGTACTTCCCTAGCAACTTCTCCAATAGACAACATACAAAAGATATACAATCTCATTTTCGTGTGAATCATTGATCTTCCCGCCCACCGCCCGCCGAGCCTCTCTCTCTCTTTCCCCTCTCCAATCTCCCCTCCCACTTCTTCATGCAGGTGTCTTCTCCGTCATCTCGTCGAGTAACTCATTCAGAGATGAGAGGTCGTGTACCTCTTCCGGTTGCTTCTGGAGCGCCCCAGAATGGACATACTCGCAATCCATCGGGACTTGACGTGGCTCGCAGCCCGCCGAATCAAAGCAATAAGAGTAAGTCACTCTCATGATTCATTGCTGTGTCTAGAATGTGTGCTAATTCTCTGTCGCTTAGATACCAAACATGTTCCTTGCAAATTCTTCCGCCAGGGTGCCTGTCAGGCAGGCCCCGCTTGTCCGTTTTTACACTCAACCGATGCCGGAATTGACTACGCTCCTTGCAAATATTTCGCGAAGGTATGAAAATTGGCACTGTTTCGAAGTTTCTCCCTTCGTTGCGCGTTTTCCGAGACTATTGGAAGTTAACGGGGCAATGGTTCTAGGGAAACTGCAAGTTCGGCGCAAAATGCGCACTAGCGCACATCCTACCAGATGGACGGAGAGTCAACCGGCCGACTGGGAACATGGGAATAGGAAGCGGCCACCTCAATCTAGGCGGTCGGGTGAATCCACAAGCCTATGTCAACCAGGATTCCGCCTTGACCAACTCGGTGCTCTCTCAACAGCGCATGAACGGCCACGAGCAGCCTCGATATGCCCCGCAGCTGGCCCCGCAGGAGGAGTATGGTGCTCTGCATGGGCAGCAACAGCCGTCCTATGATGGAATTCCCACGATCGATACGGGCCTGGCCTCCGATGCCGGCTCCAAGTATGGATCTCCCGCAGAAGATGTCCGATATCCCATGTCGCCTAATAACAATCACCTTAGCGCTCTCGATGCGGGACTCCCAGCGTCATTCGACAGCCAAGGTATTTCTCATGCTGCCCGTTACGGTCCAGTGGCTGCTTCAATGCCCTCGCAATTTGGATTAGAATCGCCGCCACCCCAGAGACTGGGACAGGCAGATGTATTCCGAAACCTACGCGACATCGGCTATGGTACTAGCCTGCGGAAACCTTCATCGAACATCGGATCCTCTCCTCCTGCCCCTGAAGATACAGTCGGCACCCGATTCATGCACTCGTCGCGCCCCGTCAAACCACGCATGCTTTCCGCTAGTGTCCCCCGCCCCATGGCCCTTGAGGACTGGGATGAGAATTTCCCCATGGAAGAAGACTACCTACCAGTCAACCTGCACGATGATGTATTGACTCCGCAGGAAAAGCTGCGCCGACTCTCCCGAACTGATAATGACCTCAGCTCCAGCCACCGCGACATCAGTGGTTTTGGCATGACCAGCACCAGCTTTTCTAAGACTGGTTCTCCCCTGGCCTCCAGCCCGTCTCGGTTTGGTGCATTGTTTGCCAAGCAGCGACAACGTAAAGAAGAGGAATCTCATGGCTCTTCCTCTTTCCACATCGGATCTCCTCTCCGTGAATCATCACTGAACCCAATCACCAGCCCCAATTTGGGACCCATTGGCAGTAGCCGGGCATCCCATGAAGGGTCATCATTCCTCTCAAGCCCTGGACGTCAATCCTCAATGTCAATGATTTCTGAGCAGCTCGGCGGTATGGGCCTTCATCCTGGTTCTGCTCGCCAGCCGTCTGCCGCTCCTAGCGGCCGCCTTGACCGAGTCATCTCTCCTCCTGTCAACACAAGCAAGATTGAGGAGGAAGAGCAGAGTGATCTAGTCTTCGACATGGAGGAAGAGGTCGGCAACAAGCGGAACAGTGCCTCATGGAGTGAGAACAAAGAAAGTTCTTCCTAATTTGTGCTCTTTATTCCAACCAATTTCGTCATATTGCGTCAAGTCGGAGTCCTTGGGACATGTTCATATTCACCAAAAACACAAGGAAAAGGGTATTGGAGTTCCATTGGGCAACATACATCAAAGAGACAACATAAAAGGAGAGTCCAAGACCATACACCCTTTTTTCTCTTCGAATGAGAATATTTGATTCAGCAGAAACAAACAAGGCGACCCAAAAAAAAAAGACCCTCATATTCCTCTCTCATCATAGACTGGCCTTCAGCATCATCTGCCTTGTTTTATTCCTTCATTTGGAATCACCTAGACCAGTCATATGTGTTTTCTCATTGCTGGGCTTTCAGACTTCTCTGAACAGCCATTTACTGTATTAATCTCTGCCTTTTCTTTGTTTTTATTTTCCATTTCCGGATATCGCACTGTGCCTGGGTTGACATATCTCAACTCTTGTTTCTTCACGTCTGCTTTTGTTTTATGATTTCACGACCACTGCGATCTCCGGTGTTTTTTTGGTGCTTTCTTTGTCTTCTTCCTTGTTCTTTGTCCCCTACTGTCGGAACATGTGGTCTTGTTTCTTACTGCAGGCATGTACAAACTGGAGATGTGCAAATAAACAATTCCTTGATGCTTTGAACTCTTTAGTAGACAATCATCTGGTAGATATATTTATCATGTAGTTTTCTTGATGGGCAAATAAGTATACATATGTAAAACCACATCTCCTGGTCAGAAGTTGAACTGACACAGAACCATAGATACAAGCTAGTGACTATTGACATATACAATTTACCAGTGGGAGTGTGTGGACAACTAAAACAAGAACTATTCCATGTTCTACCTATTCATACAAACCCTTAAAGTAAAACAGACGCCTGGAAGATTACGCCCTTTGGAACCGAATCATAAAAACCACGCCAATATGTTCACCTTTGTTCTAACTAAGCCTCGTCCAGGTACAGAGCAGTACCTTTTAGATTGACCAAGCCCTCCGTGGTAGATTGAGCCTGAATATGCTGCGTCTGTTCCATAGCCCGGCGATCTGCCAAAGCACCACGCTCCCGCGTTCCATCAAGGTCCATAGCATCGTTATCCCCCGCCCGAGTGATATAACCATAGAGTTGATCCGTACCCGCCACGACGCGCTGCACTAACGTCTCAAGTGCCTTACCAGTAAGCGCATCCGCACGGCCTGTTAGCTCAGCCTCCATCTCAGCGCGCTGGCGCTTCACAGCGTCATTACGTTCTGTCCTCTCATCGGCCAACTTGCGCTTCCTCTCTTCAACCCTCTTCTGATGCTCCTCCTTGCTGGCGAGGTACTTGAGGGAATGACCAAGCTTCTGGGTAGAGGGCGGAATGAAGTCTACAGGGGGCGTGGAGAAGAAGAGAACACGGCCGTGGTCGTCGCAGTGGAATTGCTCGCGAATGTCTTCTGGGATAGCAGCGTTGGCCGCGTCGCTCAGATGGAAGACTTCCACAGGCCGCGGTGCGTTGGGGTTGTACACGGCTGGCGGAGCTTGCATGCGGTTTTGGGGGTACCCAGTGTAGGGGGATGGTTGGGCCGCTGAGAATGGCTGGGCCGCTGGTGAGGTCTGGTATGCGCCTGCTGGTGTCTGGGGGAGGTTGCTTGCGCGGCGTTGGAGGGATGCTGTAAAGGCTTGGGATGGGGTCATTTGGTGGAAGCCTGGTGGGCGGACGGGGGCAGGAGTTGTGTGTATGATGATTGGGGGTGCTGGGGAACGTGTTTGGAGTGCAGCAGTACCGGGGCTCATGGCCGATCTGGGGAGTGCTTGACTCAGTGATTGACGGGGTGCTACAGACTGGGGCAAGGAAGGAGGAGGCGGGGATGGGGTTGGCTCAGGTGGTGGGGATTCCTAATGTTGTCAGCGTTCTAGGATATTTTTCTCGTATTGCGATCGAAGACTTACATTCTCGTCTCGTGGGCGGCGGTGAACAGCACCGGCAACAGGGGGTGCGTTGTCGGTTCCCCAGGTCGGCCGAGGAAGGTCATCGGTCTCCTTGGCATCTTCTTTTAGAAGATGTTTGATCGGACTGGGGATCTTCTTGATCTTGCGTGGCACATCAAAGAGATCCATCTCGTAGTCTTTCTCTCGCACTTCGTCTGGTAGACAGCTAGCCCATGTCTTGATCTTGTTTAACTTGTGTTTCTCCTCATTGTAGCGAGCCTCGCAGACATAGATCTCCTTATCAGGTGCGAGATCTCTTGGGCGACCTCGGCTGTAACGGGTGAAAAACATGACGAAGCAGCGATCAACAATCTCATCAATCCGATGGTCTCGGTATTGCCCAGTCTTCACAACTTCATTGGGGTAGAAGTGCTTCTCGAAGTGATGCACTGTCTGCTCAGGACGGTAGTACCAACACGCGTTAATCCATTTTTCGCCATCAGCGTCCTGCCAGGTTCGGTAGATCTGTGCAACGATGGGCTTGGTCACATCGTTTTGGTTTTGGATATGAACCCAGTCGCCAACCTTCCACAGCTCACCGCGGTGGAGGATACCATCGGGAAGTGGGAAACGTCCATCTTCCATCAAGAACTCGCTGTCAGGTTTCTTCTTTTCTTGCTCGGCCAACTTCCGGGCTTCGGTTTGCAGGTCGACAGCATCCTTGAATATCTGACTGTCAGACTGGTTGTAAGCCTTGGCATTTTCGAACATGAGATCGAGATCGCGCATGAAATGGTCGACGGAGTTATACTTCTTGCGCTTGGACTTGCGCTTGATAATGTCGATGGCGATGGGTTCCTTGATCTCCATGTAGTAGTCCGGGTAGGCGGCTTTGTCGGGGAGACGTTCAAAGTGTGTGATCTTCAGGTGGCCACCGGCGCCCTTGAACTTCCGAATCCCCTTTAGGATTGTCTTGATGCGAATTTCCATAGGTGTGTCCACGCGAGGGGGACGGCCTCGTTTTTTGCGAAGGTCAGGTTCATGCTTTTGAGCCAATCCACGCTTGAACCCCGGCTTGGGACCAGGCTTCTTCCTGCGTCGGCCCTCATCTTCAGAGTCGTCCTCCTCATCCTCTTCCTCCTCCTCTTCTTCCTCATCATCATCGGGCAGAGGGTCGGCTTCTGGGATCTCTCCAAGATCGGGCAGTTCTGCCTCATTAGCAGGAATCGCGCCCTGGGCGGCTAACTTTCTGAACTCGGCGGCGAAAACTTCCTGGAGATTGTTAGTTGAATGCCTAGAGTGACCGAGTTTAATCGAACATACTCTGATAACTAGCGCATCTTCGTAAGCCTGTGATTTAGGCCTGTTGTATGTTTGCGCATTGTGCGGGATCTAGATGATTAGCTAGTTGCAACCCTGGAGAAGCGCAACCACTCACCAAGGCGCAATCGCGGACAAATTCAGAAAAATGCTTATATTCCCGTTTGTTGATGCGCGCTTTTAAAATACTCAGGGCCATCGGCTCCTTGATGATATCGTAGTAGTCGGGAACATAGCGCTTGTTGACACTGCGATGGAACAATCGCGACGGGTCATGACCACTGCGCAAGACCACAATTAGCCAGCGATCACTGTATAATTCGAGAGCCAATCGTACTCCTCTTCCCGATAATCATAAATTGCCATGACCACATCCATCATCAGCTTCCATGTTTCGCGGGTGATCGCACCGTCATTCTCGATGGAGTTAACGGGTTGTTCACGCGGGGGTTGCGATAGCTCTTTCTCGGACTCCATGTCGTTGGCGACAAGCGCGTTTCCACGCAACGGTAAATTTGGCAATGAAGATCAAAGAAATCGACGCAAGTAAGCCAGAATTCAGGTAAGATAGCAGAGAAGCCCTGGAGAGGTCGGAGAATGTTTTACGAGCGCGTGAAGCTATTGCTGACTCAGCAGCAATTTTACGTTACGGTAATTTCGTGACGACTGTCTTTGAATGTTTCATGAGACATATCTGGACTATGTGAACTCATATCATTTCTATTTGCATCTCTTCTGCTGGGAACATATGATGTAGCTGCCTTCTATAACTGGGGCTGAGGATGTTCAATCAGACTAACATACGGAGTATTCTGTACTTTCAATATACATAGCTCTGCAAGGCTATGGTTGCGATGATTGGCTTGGTACCTCGGTAGTATCACCCTGTTTGCAGCAGGCTGTGGGACTTCAATGTCTCAAGGCACGAAGGAATAGAGAACTGATGTCTGAGTCCCACTTCTTCTCAAGGGCCAAAAAGGGGAGTTCTCATACCATTTGGCTTACATCGCAAATTGCAGGGATATTGCAGGTATACCTCAGGTATATACCCCACACGGCAAGTCGTCATATCTTCCTATCAGTGGAACTTACAAGGTTCTTAAGATCGCCCACCTCACAGTTCACAAAGCTCTCTACCTCTTTACTTTATCAAACAGAATGAGAATTCGAATCCGTGGGCCTTCGGGCCAGTCAACTGTTACCCTGGATGACTCCGCAACCATCAAGGAACTAAAAACCCAAATTGCGGAGAAGACCGGCCTTGCTACATTTGACGTCAAATATGGATACCCTCTAAAACCACTTGAGCTTGACAGCTTTCAACCAAACCAAAGGATCTTGGAAGTTGGGGTACATTTGAACGGAGAGTCACTCATCGTCGCACAGAAAGAGGGAAGCACCCGGGGTGTGAGCGACGATGCGCCAACAGCGCCAACAGCACCATCACAACCTTCAGCATCACAGCCACCAATGTCGCAAGTACCACATGAAAATACTGCAGAAGACCCGCCAGAGATTCCCTCCCCAGAACATGCTGGGACGTTCGTTCTCCGGGTGATGCCCGACGACAACTCCTGCCTTTTCCGAGCAGTGGGTGCTGCAGTCATGGGCGATATGGACACGATGGTTGAGTTACGATCGATCATCGCAGGAGCTATTCAATCAAATCCAACGGAATACACAGCAGCGATTTTAGGTAAAAATCCGGACGAATACTGTACCTGGATCCAGAACGAGGACTCGTGGGGTGGCGCCATCGAGCTGAAAATTCTCAGCGAATACTTCAATATCGAGATATGCTCCATCGATGTACAAACTTTGAACATGTTCCAATTTAACGAGGGGCGCCAACGCGGTGTATTGTGGTGTACTCAGGGATTCACTACGATGTTCTTGCGCTGTCCCCCTCTCCCCCGCCCTACACCCGTGCCAACCCACTACCGCATGACGATACAAAGATCTTCGAAGCTGTTGACCCAGTTGTTTTACAAAAGGCCAAAGAATTGTGCCGAGTGTTGCAAGGCAAGCACTACTACACGGACACTTCGGGGTTTACTGTTCGCTGCAACGTCTGCGGAGGCACATTCACTGGGGAGAGAGGCGCCACGAAGCATGCCGCGGAGACCGGGCATTACGATTTCGGAGAGGCAAGCTAGTATTTTATATAGCATAGATAAGCATACTGCTGGATTGTTTGAAGTCATATGAAGGCTGCTTCATTGTCATGAATAAAGTGGGAGGATGTGTGGCAATGAAACCAATCTCATATAACATATCGTACAAATCATCTTGGGTCTCATACCATAGCAACCTCGTCTGCATCATCTTCCTCCTCCTCCTCTCCTGATTCTGCGCTTTCTTCTGGGTTGCCTCCCCATTCTACATCATGGTGTACAGGGTCTGTGAAGAATTCATGCTGCAGGGCGTCCGCGGCACTGAGCCGCTTAGACGGGTCCAGCTCCATCAGTCCAGATAAGAGGCGTGTTGCTTGCTGCTCGCTTTCCGTCAGATCTTCCACACAGCTGGACCATTTCACCAGCTTCTCCCAGCTGTAGCCTTTCTCGCCGATGGTTGGGAGATTTGTTTCAAAAATCTGTCCATGCATGACCGCGGCGGCCTTCATGCGTCGGGTGCCGAAGATGCTTGACATTTCTATCATCGCATCAATATCGTCGGCAGAGTTGAAGAAGGGGAACCGACGTCCCAGCAGAGTTAAAAGAATGACACCGACTGACCACATGTCAATCTTGGTGGTCTGTGATGTGCATTTGAAAAGAACTTCTGGGGCTCGGAAGCCTCGAGTTCCAGCGCGGTTCGCTCGTCGTGATGGCCGTGAATCATTCTTCGGGTAGCCGGCCGAAAATCCCGTGGATGGGGGGTTCTTGGAGTAGTAGCTTGAGAGGATCCGGCTTCGCCGGACATAGCTTTGGTGAGTACATAGACACGGGCTAGTGTATTCTGAACCTTGGCGCTGGTGGGACAGTCAGTAAGCGCATCAACATATATCAGCCATGATTCATACCTCTGCAAGCCCAAAGTCAACCAGAACACCTTCTTTCAGGTCTGGGTTGTAGAGAAAGTTGCTACAAGACATTAGCATAATCCAGGTCACCGACAATGACACACTTACGTCGGCTTGATATCACGGTGAAGGATATCATGTTCATGTACCGAGTTCAAGGCGGTCATGAGGGATCGTAGATAGTGGCGCATATCTGCAACCATGAATGTGCGGTATTGAATGCGAAAGTCGGTATGGGGGAAATAGGGCAACACAGCGACCACTTGGTCCTGGTATCTGAAAGCAGTAATCAGCGGGCAGACAGACCCGCATCCTCGGAGATCGTGTAGTAGTTCTAGCTCGTTCTGAATCCGTAGTGGGCTACTTGTGACATAGATCTTCTTCAATGCGACGAATTTCGCTTTTTTCCGTCCGGTTGGCTCGCCTTCAACTCGTCGTCGTTTGGATGGAGGCTCCGGATAGTTGTCTTGGGCTGGTGTTGAGACATCCCAGTCATTTTGGTGTGCATCATAATGAAGATCCTCTGCTTTGTAGACCGTAGAGAATGTACCTATTAGTGTGTCAACAGGAAAGCCCACTCAATGACGATAGTACCCGTCATACCTTCTCCAATCCTATTCACCAGACGAAACCGATCTGAGATTCCTGGGAATGTGTCTTCGAGCTTTCTCATATCCTCTCTGACCGATTCGTCCACCTCTTCATCATAGTCACTCTCCTGGGGTGCATCACTCTGTGATACTGATTCATCATCTTGTCCCAATGAGTATTTCGACTGTGCCTCTTGGTAGGACTTGCTGCGTTTTAACTCAAATACACCCGGGGCAGCGTGGAGGGCCGACATGGTGGTAGGAAAGACAGTGGGAATTCTATGAACTGAACCTATCGACCAATAGAGTGGAAAAGCAAAGTCATCAGATCGTGTCGCGTGTAGATAATGTTTCTTCAATGTTTATCGCAAACACGGACACAACAATTACCACTCGGTGACAAGGATGACAATACAATGGCCGGCAGATTCAGTCAATACAAGGCGGTGTAAGAGGGGTTTGAGGGGTTTGCCAGCACTAGCGGTAAAATATGACTGTGTGATTACATAAGTTGGGCCAAAAAGGGCAAAAGCTAAACAAACGGAGCTTATCAACAAATCGGCTTTCCTCCCCGCCTTACTCTTTTTCTCTCTTTAACCGCGACAATGGAGGATAGAATCCAGTTCAACATAAATGAGTCGCTCAAATATTATTTGAGTGATCCTACTTCGATTCCGACGCCTGATGCGGACCCAGAATTGCTGGATTGCGAATCGGATCCGGATCAACTTTCGCCAGCGCTGATTGACAGTATATTGAATCCGATCGTGGATGCCGTGGCGGAGAACCCTGAAGGATTGACACGAGCATCACTATTTGACTCGTTACAATTTTTACTAAAGTGCGCCCCGGTCCCTTCCCAACTTGCCTACGGAGGCTGGCGCCCGCCTGGACTCGAATCTGACGATCCTTTTCCCTCTTGCAGATACGCGACCTTTCTTCCCGCAAAGTACTTGAGCAAACTTTTGGATTTGGTTGTTTCTGGTTTGTCTGTCGAGGCAGACATCATCCATGGAGATCTTGAATCCGACGACCAGGATGCAATTCAACATCATAAGCAGCTTCTGGAGATGTATGGGTTTCTTCTCCAGTGGGCCTTGTCTGCCGTAGAGGTCAAGGCTGCAGAGAAGCCCACTGAAGCAGCACCCGTGCGACGAGGAGGACCCAAATCTAAAAAATCCGCTAATAGTGGCCAGTGGGATTGGACGCCACAGATCCAAATATCCATGGAGACCATGTGCAAGGTGATGAAGCTCAAGTTAGGCCGCATTTTTTTGACGACTTCGGATCGTGACACTTTCATTACCCTATTCACGCGTACAATCTACCTGGTTCTTGAGAGCGAACAGCGGGTGAAGAGCATGGCCATTCGCATGCATGCTTTCAAGGTTCTCTGCATCGCAGTCAAGCATCATGGCCAGGCCTTCGGTAAGTGTCCGGATGCATATCCCGCTTGGGCAATAGCTGACTTCAGTATAGGAGCTCAAACTTCAATTGTGCAGAGCTTGACTTATTTCGAGCATCTCTCCGAACCTATGGCCGAATTCCTCCATATTCTGGCCGAACAATACGACTATCCCCAGCTTTCTGACGAGATCCTGAAGTGAGATTATATTAGCGAATTGGCGGAGTAGTTGCTAACACTACATGTAGGGAGCTCGGAAACAAGGAGTTTAATTCTAATGATACGAGAGGCCCCAAGTCTGTATCGACGTTTATTATCAAACTGTCCGAGCTTGCACCCAGATTGATCATTAAGCAAATGACACTCCTGGCAAAACAGCTAGACAGTGACGTACGTGACACTTTCAGTTTTTCCGAAGCTCCACTAACAATCCCAGGCATATACTCTCCGCTGTGCAGTGATCGAGGTCTGCGGAAACCTCATTTCGGATCTCAGCCGACAAGAAGAGCGCAGTGATAACTATAAGACTCAGATCAATGCCTTTTTCGACGTCCTAGAAGAAAGATTTCTTGATATCAACCCTTACTGCCGCTGTCGCGCGATCCAGGTATTCATGCGGATCTGCGATCTGGAACAGAAGTTCCCGAAGAGGCGACAGGCTGCAGCAGAACTCGCTGCCAGAAGCTTGGAAGATAAGAGCAGCAATGTGCGACGTAACGCAATCAAATTGCTGTCTAAACTTGTTTCCACACATCCTTTCAGTGTTATGCATGGTGGGCTCCTGTCATACAAGGAGTGGACAGATAGGCTGGACGCGGTTGACGCGGAGTTGAATTCCCTACGTCCCCCCGAAACACCAGGCTTTGGGGCAGGTGATATGACTCAGGTTGACCCTGAGCTGTTGGATGACGCCACGCAGCTCCCGGATGATTCTCCATCGAAAGCGCCCCGGATGACCGATGAAGAGAAGGCTATTGCTGTGCAAAAAGCCGCAGAGCAAGCGGCCACCTCTGAATTGATGACACGCCTCCAACTGACAAGGAAGTATTACAACGAGGCCATCCGGTTCATTGAAGTGCTCCACTCCGGATCCACCATCGTCACACAGTTACTTTCATCCCGGAACAAGAGTGAGGTTATTGAAGCCATGGACTTCTTTGTTGTTCTCGATGCATACAAAATCGAAACTGCCCGCAGTGGGATTCGCCGTATGCTGCGCCTGATTTGGACTAAGGGCAACAGCGACGAAGGAAAGGGCGTCCAGACACATCTCATTGATTGTTACAAGGGCCTCTTCTTCGATGCACCGGGGTCTTTCACACCTAACGATGCTGCAAACTACATCGCCCGGAACATGATCAGTTTGACATTCGGCGCAACCCCTGCAGAACTGACCTGCCTCGAGCAACTGCTCAGCACGATGATGAAGGCTGGAAACGTATCCGAGGCAGTTATCGCCAAGCTCTGGCAAGTTTATAGTATCCAGAAGAAGGAAATATCACGCACTCAGCGCAGGGGTTCAATCATTGTCCTCGGAATGCTTGCCTTGGCAGACCCAGAGGTTGTGGTGAAAGAGATTGAGGCTATGTTGCGCATCGGTTTGGGTGGCCTAGGAAGGGCTGACCTTGTGCTTGCCAAGTACACTTGTATCGCTTTGCGGCGCATGATCCCCGGTCGTCAAGCCAAATCAAATGAGGTTGTTGGGATTCCTAAACTCGCCAGCGACCATTCTGTTTTGATCAAGCTGGTGGCCATGCTCGAGATCGAGACAGCCAGCAAGGAATGGTATGGAGTGGCAGAGCACGCGCTCAACGCAATTTACACTTTGTCCAAGCACCCTGACGTTCTTTGCTCTGATATCCTCAGAAGAAAGACAAGATTCGTCTTTGCACCACATCTTCAACAACGCGCCCCTTCCTCCCATGCATCTGTCAATGGAGAAGAGCAAGAACAACCTGGGACTGCATCCACTGAAGGCCAGGAATCCAAGCCAAAGCCAGCATCTGCGGCGCTCTCGCAGCTGCTGTACGTCGTTGGTCATGTTGCAATCAAGCAGATAGTGCATTTGGAGCTGTGCGAACTTGACTTCAAACGCCGCAAAGTTGAGCAAGAGAAAAACAAAGCAGCCACTGCTCCCCAGAAAGAAGACAACGCCGAGGGAGACGAACTAGATCTCATTGGCGGAACAACAGAAGATGACTTCCAGGATGCCATGGCCCATATTCGAGAACGTGAGCTACTCTATGGGGAGAACTCCCTCTTGGCCAAGTTTGGCCCGCTAGTAGTGGAAATTTTGGCCCACAACAACTCCTACCCGGATCGTGACCTGCAGGCCTCTGCGACTCTTTGCCTTGCCAAACTCATGTGCGTGTCTGCCGAGTACTGCGAAAAGAACCTGCCACTCCTCATCACGATCATGGAGCGGTCTGAGGATCCTATCGTCCGTAGCAATGCTGTAATTGCGCTGGGCGATATGGCTGTTTGCTTCAACCACCTCATCGATGAGAATACCGATTTCCTCTACCGTCGTCTGAATGATGATGATGACTCCGTCAAGCGCACCTGTCTCATGACCTTGACCTTCCTCATCTTGGCCGGTCAAGTCAAGGTTAAAGGACAACTGGGCGAGATGGCGAAATGTTTGGAGGATGATGACAAGAAGATCGCTGATATGGCTCGCATGTTCTTCACGGAGCTGTCAACCAAGGACAATGCCGTGTACAACCACTTTGTAGATATGTTCAGTCTGCTGAGTGCAGAGCGCAGCCTAGACGAAGCGTCACTCCGCCGTATCGTCAAGTTCTTGATTGGATTCGTTGAGAAGGTACGTCCTTTTTGCTCCTTTAGTTTCTAATGATCTATGCTAATGTCCAACCAGGAAAAACATGCTCGCCAACTGGCCGACAAGCTGGCCGCTCGACTTCCTCGTTGCGAAACAGAGCGGCAATGGAACGATGTTGCTTATGCTCTGTCTCTTCTACCCCATAAGAATGAGGAAATTACCAAGACCGTTAGTACAGGGTTCAAGGTCGTCAGTGCCACAGCCTGAGGCTGATCTGAGATGGATTATGTGTTGATGTACTTGATGATTGGAGTCTGGCGGCGTTGGTCTTTTGGACAAATGGGTTGTTATTCTTTTTATGAATAGGATTAATCGTTCTATTGAACCTATATATGATATACCTAGACTTCATCCAGATGGACCTGGAGCTATTCTGTTCAAGTTTGCCGTCATCACGATGGAATGGCGTTGCAGCTATTCATGAAACAGATTTCTAGAGAATAATGTCTAAATGAGATTAAGAGTATGACCCATCCCTCCCCCCAAAAAATCAAATCCGGAGTAAAAACGACAGAAAGACGCCGAGTTCAAAGTTTGTATGGTCGCATGCCAGATACGCCAATGTTGCTTACCTACACTGTCACAGCGAAACACAATTATATCTATGCACCCTGCACTGTACTTTCCGTCAAAGCGAAGTCGCCCGAGCGAATCCCTTGTAGAACCTTTTGGCCCTCCTCTGTGAGCTCCGGTTTACCTAGCGGCGTCACCGCGCCAGTGAAGAATCGAGGGTTCCACTCAATACCCTTTTCAAAACGCTCTGCAGCCCGTTGCCGTTGCCGTTCCTCAATATCCTGCTTGAGCTTTGTGGCCTGACTGAACTGTCTGTCAACAATGGCGGTCGTGACACCCGACCAGAACTTCAATGACTCATTGGACAGCTGTTCTTCGGATGGAGGCAGTGTCTTCGTGACGGGGAGAAGCGGAGTGATATCTATGAGCAGATGAGGCTCCTTGGTGCCTACCGGTGTGAAGTATATCTTTCCATGCCAGGAGCCAGTGATGCGCGCGACAACGTCACCGTCTGATACATCTTTGAGTCGACTGGTCGTATCCTTGTCCGGGTTGTAACGGAAGATAACGCCCTCCAGCTTATTCTGTGACCGGCCAATCCAGCCTTCTTCCATGTACTGTAGGATCGCCTTCAGGCCCGTTTTCGGGCAGGTGACATAGCATGTGTCGGCAACTGTGACTGAAAGCGCCCCGCGCAGTATTCCCCCCAGGTGGGCATTTGGGTGGGTTAATTGGTATTCTTCGTTGTCCCTCTTTTCAATATTGACAAAGATTCCGAGGTTGTGTTGGCCGGGGCTCACACGAATGCTGGTGCCGGTGAACTTTGCGCTGATTTGATCGAACCCGCGCGCTGAAACGCCTCGTTCGGGGCAGTCGATATAGAAAGCCGAGACCGGGGGGTGGTGGGAGGTCTGTTCTGTAAGATAGCATACTTTGACCTTCTCATCGCCGTCGGTCACGGTGGAGGAGCCATTGGAGCTTGCTTTGATGCCAGGGATATTGGCTTCTTCGGGGATCTTGTCGTTAACTTCCCAGCTGCACTAGGGGGTATCAGCAATGAATTGTCATGAATGAAATGCCAAAGACCCTGGTACTCACTCGGAAGAATTCACCCAGTGTTGAGTTGTATGGTTTGCACGGTTTACCCTTGACGTATTTCTGCAGCAAGATCAATAAGTGTTCGAGTAGTTCTGAGCAGCCGAAACATACCAAATCTTTTGTGAACCAGAACCGCAATACCTCCAACATCCGACCTAGCTCATCATCCGACTTGCCAATGCTGTAGCCCTTGAGTCAGTACACAAGCGTTCGCCAAAGATGGATACATTTGCTGACCTTGCAAACGTCTCCGGTCGATCTAGATAATGCCAGTATTCTTGTCGCCCCAGTCAGCACCAACCCCGCACGGCGTGACACGAATTGTTACCTACCCAGATTTGGTCGAGGCTCTAGCAGTTGCGCTGGTAGTGAAAATCGAACCGAAGCGATATCTGCCACACCGACGAATCTAGTTTCCAGTATTAGATTCTGACATCTAGTCATGTCTTGCGCGGTGCGGGGAGTCAAGGGATGGTTGCCTACTTTCGAAGGATGGAGAGGAAGGTCTTCAGCTTGGAGGAGTCATCTGGGGCCTTTTCAGGCACTGCGATGGAAGACATATTTGGTGTTCAAGCGATAAGAATTTGTAGAGAAAGGAAGAGGAAGAGGGCGAGGGAGAGAGAGAAAGAGCGAGAGAGCTGGGCGTTCGGTAGAAGAGAAAGGGTGGCAAACTAAGAGATGAGTTGTTTGGGGGGGGGAGGGGATTCAGTGTCTCGGGCCTTGCCTCTATACCGAAATAAGGATAATAATGTTGTTCCAGGTTCTCACGGGGGAAAAAAAAGTCCCACGTCAAAGTCACAGAGCATTCAAAAAGGAGGTGGGCGAGAAGCAACTCAGCAACATTTGAGGCGGTGACGTGTGAACTATTTTTTGCCCGGTGGGGTACCTCAGGCGTTGATTTTGAGGAAGTACAACATTGAATATTCTGATATATAGATTGAGTATGGAATGGTGTTGACTTAGGAACTATCGAACGCCATGCAGCTAAATTGAAGGAATAATATACAGGTCATGTCACTACGTCACCGATAAGAACATAGAAAAGGGAAGATCGATGATAGAAGGGAGTATCATGAGGTATAAAGTGATTTTTCAAATCACAAGGGTCGTCCAATCAGTAGGCCACGAGGGTGGACAACTGCTGCAGCTCCTGTTTCTGCGCCAAGCGTCGAAGCCACGTTCGCACCGCAGGCCCATAGTCAAATCGCCGTCCGGCTGCGTACTCGTCATCCGACCGGTGGGACTGTTGCTCTTCACGTATACGTGCTCGGAGTTCTCGCTGATTCCTGCTGATCATCTGCTGATATCCCTGTAGCTGTTCATCGGAGCACGTCTGGTAATCATTGAGGGTTTCTTGGGGGATCACCACCGCATCGATATCTTCCCGTGCCAAAGATAGAGAAAGGTCAGGGCCAAGGACAGTTTCATCCAGAGCCAGTGTATCTGACGATGGGCAAAGGGATATGGCACGCTGGTTGAGAATTTCTAAGGTTCTCACGTTGACAGCCAGGTCATTGATGAGATCAGGCAGAGGATCGCGTACGAGGCCTAAGATTGAAAATTCAATTTCTTCTTTTTCGTATGCTGTCATTCGTTCCTTAAGGTTAGGCTTGACCAGTTCCAGCCAGTCGTCTTCAGAACATTCCCCTACTAGAGTTAGCATGGTCATCCCAATAATGTTTGCGGTACATACCAAGTGCTCGTGGCTGCCGCTCCAGGCCATCAAATTTCCACAGCTGGCCCATCACCGGCATAAATGCAATGAAATGAAAGGTGGCATCGGATTCTTCAACAGCCTGTCCCTTCTTTTTCCTAGTGGTGGCTTCGGTCTTGAGCTGCAGATCAGAATTGAGAATGTCCATTTTTCTGGCATTGAGTCAGTATTTGGGTTGTAAATAGCACATCCAAATTGCATACCGTGCATATGAGTTGTGTATCCTTTTGACAAACTCAAAGTTGTTGATTGCATCCCCACGTAGGGCTGGGGTGAAAGGCATGGTGAAGTCCTTGAAGGATCGTAGAGTTTCTCCTAGATCAATGTCTGGGATGTTGTTGACGATATTTAGTAATGCTACACTAGCGCAAGCGTTGTTGGCAGTCTGTATATATATTTAGTGATGAATGATTCAGTTGAATGATTAGGGACTGACTTGGTTTGCGAACCACAGCCCATCAGGGCAAGTCGCTTCCTGCTTTCCATCGTTATCTTCACGCCAGCGGAAGAGGAAAATCAAGCCGTAAACAGGATTACTACTCATGGTCAGCTATAAAGCCCATATATAATAGTGCAGTGAGGAGTTGGGAGCAACATACTTGAGAAACGCCATCATTTCTTCATCGAGAGAAACAACTTCTTGGATCTTTACACCCTTGACCCCAAATTCACGTAGCATCACATTGAACAATGCCTAAACTCTGTAAGCAAAGAGCTCTTCATTGCCAGACAAACCAACATACCGGTTCAGATTCAATTTCGCAAAAGCCATTCCAGCTGTCTTTTTCCAGGCGGGACGCAGGCTGGCAGATGTCGTCACTGAGATCTTCTGGATCTGTCAGACGGCGCCTTTTGATTCGAGGCCCCATGTTGGATGGCTTCTTTTTTTAAAAAAGAAAACTAAAAAAAAAGAAAACAAAAACAGAGGGAGCTGTAGAGCTATGTAGGTGTAGAGCTTCAAGATGAGATTGAAATAGAGAGCTATGATACGAGGGCTCCTGGGATGATAAAAGGTTCTCTCCTGAATAGAGTAAAACAGAAAGAGAAGACTCAGATATTGAGCAATAAGAACTTTTTTTTTTGGCTGTTTATAGAAAGGCAGACAATAGAGACAATGGGAGGGAAGCGGTTATGTCGTTGAGTGGACCGAGCTTCTCCCGACGCGCTTCCCGCGTCTCCAACTTTTTGTTTCTTTCTTTTCTGCTATAGCCGCAAATTGCCACTGCACAGCTTCAGTTGATTCCATACAGCTTCATTTAGCTTATAATAGCTTTAAGAGGGCCGCCATTGCCCTCTAACTACACCCCCTCCATCTTTTGCCAGCCCCGGCAGCCACAGCATGCCATGAACGGCACTCCCCTCCTCTCGTCTGCCTTTCCGCAGACGCCTAAAACAATCCCTGGAACTGGAAGGAGGAAGCTCTTTGAGACTCCTTCTCGATCGCAATCACGAGATACTCGGACTGTACGAACACCACTCAGATCAGCATCCAAATCCGCCTCGAAAGTGTCGAGGCTACCACCCCCGAACCCGAACCCCGATGTGCCACTGATCCCCACCAATGTGATCGATGCTCCCTCTCAACGACTCTATGTCGTTGCAATATATTTTGCCTTGAATGCGTGGAGGATTTATGAGTCCTTGACCGCATCCGACGACTTAGATTCAACCTGGCTGTTGTTGAAATGGGCCACGATAGATGGAATTTTCTTGTTCGGGCTGCAGGCTCTGCGTATACCTTGGCTGGAGTGGGCGTTCCCAACCACGCTCACTCTGTTCCTGCTTCATGCCGTGGGAAATGTCTTTTTGATGTTCCGCATCCCAGTGAGTATTTAAGACTGCTAATTGGCCCCCCCCGCTAACAGCTGCAGATTCCTTGGGCTGCCTGGATTACCGGACTAGTAAAGGTGGCATACGATCGCGAATTATCTGTTTCTGAGCGCAGAGTCAAGCCCGGAGATATCATTCATAACGCATCACTGATCCTGGGAAGGCAAATTGTGCACATTCTGCCGGAGGGGTAAGTTTATCGCGTTCGAATATACGTAAGATCCAAGCTGACTTTATAATAGATCCGCCGTCCTCAATCCGGATCGAAACTCACTTTGCCTTGATTCTCTCCAATCCACTATCGATCTACCCATCCGTGTCAACCAAACTGACCCGGTCCTGATCGAAGTGTTGCGTCTGGATCTCAATACTGGCGAAAATGAAACCATCAGCATTCCATCGAAGCAGTTGAAGACCATCAAAAAGCAGGCGGAAAAGAAGCATGTTCCGGGTCAGCTGCATCGCGACTTGCTCTTCCCTGTGCGCAAGACCGGTGTCTATCGCCTTCAACGGGTGGTGGACGAGTCTCAGCTTGATGTTCACACGCGAACATTCGATGCACTGGTGGTCTCTTGCCCGCGAGCCTTGATCAAAAATTCACATATCGACAAGTGCAAAGGAGAATTGTCCGATTTCAAATTGGAGGTGGAAGGCACGCCTCCGTTGAAGATCAAATACAGTCGCCAGGTCAACAACCTTGATCGTGGATTTTCGGTCCTCAATATCCAGCCCGATAATTTGCGCTCTCCGCTGCTCAATGGAAGGACTACTGCTGCTCTGTATAGCATCAATCAGCCCGACGTTTCGTGGGCGCAGAGCCAAAGGATTGAGATTCCATTGAACGAATCATTGAATGACGGCGGGGAATGGTTTTATACTATCGAAGAGGTCCATGATGCTATTGGAAACGTGGCTAATTATTCTACCATCTTCGAGGAAGGAGACAGGCCGTCTACAAAATCGCAATCCCAGTGGTACCAGTTCTCTGTTCACGAGCGCCCACAGTTGTCACTGCAAAATTGCAATTCTCAGAATCCCCTGCAAGTGGCCAAGGGAGACAGTACGAGGTTCCCCTTGAGCTTCCATCCTGATGGGCACGCATATACGAAGGATGGTCCCTTTTCGGTCGGTTATTCGTTCACAGGCAGCACCCAAGAAGCAGCGCAAGAACAGACCGCCGAGCTCAAGCATATGAATCAGACTCTGGACATCAAAGAGCCAGGTTTGTATGCCTTGACATCGGTATCTACCAAATTTTGCTCGGGAGAGATCCTCGAACCTTCGTCTTGTTATCTGCACAATCCGCCCGAGCCAGAATTGACAGTCAAGGCTGAAAAAATCTTTGACCGCTGTGCCAACAACGCTATTGGGTTACTCGTGGATTTGGATCTCACAGGTTCACCTCCATTTTCCCTCCGATACAGCATTGAGAGCTCCAAGGGGGTTGTCTCCAAAGTACAAGTCATCAATGGAATGCGCACGCAGCTCGATTTCACCCCATCGGAAGCCGGCTCATACACCTATCGTTTCTTGGACATCGAGGACGCCGTCTACTCACCGCGGTCTCTCAAGATACCGGTGCTTGAACAAGATGTGAAACCACCGGCTTCGGCTCATTTCCTATCAAGGAAATTGAGATCCGCCTGTTTCGGCGAAGCGGTTTCTGTGGAGGTGTCATTCCTTGGAGAGGCTCCTTGGGTCTTGCAATATGAGATCCTCCACAACGGAAAGAGATTGAGGAAGACACTGGAATCCGACACCGATGTGGCAACAATCACAACCGACAGACTGACCAGTGGTGGCGACTACACCGTGTCTCTGACCAGCGTCAAGGATAAGTCTAATTGCAAACGGACTCTCAAGGACAGCATCAATATTGAAGCTCGATCACAGCCCCCGCACGCCTCTTTCGGTCAAATTGACAAGAAGAGAAGTGTTCTGGCTCTGCAGGGCTCCAAGATTGAGATTCCATTGAGGCTGAGTGGCGAACGCCCTTGGACTGTCAAGTATAAAAATGTTGACGTGGACTCGGCGCCCATTCAGAAAAATTTCTGGGACGAAAACAGTGTCTTGACCGTCGACAAGCAGGGTCTTTATGAGATCCTTGAAGTATTTGACGCCGGTTGTCCTGGAACTGTGGACCAGTCTGCAAATGAGTTTGAAATTTCATGGATTCCACGGCCTCAGATCACTGCCCTGGACGGTTCTCCCATTGGAGCCGCTAAGGAGTTTGCAAAGTCTGAAGTCTGTCAAGGTGACGATGATAGCCTTGAAGTACGGTTGTCGGGCAATCCTCCATACAGTGTTCAATATGAGAAGCGACGTAAGGCAGACCGTGGAGGTTTCTCTTCAGCGAAACCCCGAGCGTTGAAGTCTGCCCTTCATGTGACTTCGATGGAGATGGATACCTCTGAGGCTGGAGAATACAGCTACAAGTTCACACAAATTGGGGACAGCCTGTACGACCATGATCCCAAGAGCAAACCTCTCGTTGTGACACAAAAGGTCAACCCGCTTCCCTCCGCTAAGTTCGATCAACCCGGCCACGTCTTTGGCTTCTGCAAGGAAGATATCAGCGGCGAGGAATCCATTCCCATTACCTTGGAGGGTGTCCCACCGTTCTCGCTGGAGATCAGCATCAAACACCACTCGAACGCCAAACCGGAGATTGTCACGATCCCCAAGATTAATTCCAATCGCCACAAACTGCTGATTCCTCGCCGCCATCTTGACTTGGGGCAGCATCAAGTCAGTATCCACAAGGTCCGCGATTCTAGAGGATGTCAGAAAACCACTGACCTCGATGGCTCTTCGGTGCGGGTCGCCATCTCCGATGTTCCTACCATCATCCCACTTGAGTCCAAGGTGGACTACTGTGTGGGCGAACGACTTTCATTCTCGCTATCAGGCCATGCTCCATTCGACGTGTTCTACACCTTCGATGGCGCCAAGCGCAAGGCCACTACGCAGACCTCTAACTTCCGTCGTATTGCGGAACTTCCCGGTCAGTTCACCATCAACGCCGTCAGTGATGGAGCCAGTGGGAAATGCAAGGCCCATAAAGACATTACCAAAATCATCCACGCCATGCCGAGCGTGCGGATCAGCAAGGGCAAAGAATCAGTGGTAGACATTCACGAGGGTGGAGAAGCCGAGCTTCACTTCGAGTTCTGGGGCACACCCCCATTCGAATTCACGTAAGCCAAACAAATTCTATGGAGTGATACCACACAGTCTGCTAACATCACATAGATACATACGGAGCTCCAATGTCCGCAAGGGAAAGAAGTCCGAGATCCTCGATATCAAGCACGATATCTCCTACGAAAACTTCAAGACCATCAAGACCTCTGATGAGGGAACTTACGAGGTCATCGCGATCAAGGATAAGTACTGTTCATTCTCTTCCCAGACTCCATCGGGCAAGTCAGACAGATGAAGCAGAGAAATCAAATGATGTGATAAATGTGGTGTAATACTTGGTGGTTTTATGGATCTTGTTATTTACCTTCCCTTTTGGTTCCTTTTTCTCTGTTTGTTGCATTGCAGCGGCGCTAGTACTTCAGTTTCAACAATCTACATGCTTTCTGTCCTAATTCAACTTTCCTAATGGTATACATAAGCTCTATTGGTCTACTTCAGCCTAAATTAACTATACGCGGGACTGCTCCCATGCAGGCTTTCCATTTGACAAAAAGAATAACAACCACACTCGGAATCAAGGCTAAATCGATCTCTCAAGAAGCGATGTGAGCAGTCGGGCCGAGGTTCGAGCTCAGAGGTATGCAGGTGTCCCATATAGCACTGCGGGCGTTCTATCCACTAACCCGACATCTTCTCAACATGGTAGAGCTCACCAGTGCCCTCCCGATCCGCCTGCTCTTTCGGAGCATGCCACATCTGGACCTCTGATAATATTTTATTACCAGAAACCTCTTTGAACGCCGAACACGGTGCGTCTCTACGTTGCATTGATGTTGGAATATATACACTCCCCAAGTATTAGCGTCACGGGCCTTTGTTGAAACCGTGAATTGGTCCCTCGGGTGCTGATAGTGGTTCTGGTGACTCTTGCCTTTCTGATAGCTCTCGCCTGTGAAGAAAGAGGTTAGCTTAAATCAACGATGAGGAGCCAGGAACGAACCTCCTTACTATTGTATGATGTCCCCCATATAGCGTGGAACGCATACAGGGTCAACACTGGCGATTTCGATATTTCGAATATCGAGAAGTGAAGGTCAGCATGACTACTAAGAAGTGATAGGAGGGACCTACCAGGTAGACGAGGTGGTTTTATACTGCAAGGGGAGTTGGAGGTTGAAGAGAAAGATGTGGAATTGTATATTCAAACCCAAATATAAGTATAATAAACCGACACATTCTCATCCCTTACAAAGGCAGAGTGCACTCTGGGCACCGATACTATGTGCCCGATAACTTTCGAACTCACTGAGATTTCAATTCGAGTCTCTCCAATCCCGGTTTTTTCTGCGTGGCAGACGCTCTTCTGGGGGAGTCCTTGCTCGAAGATGGGGCATGTCAATACGTTCCCTGTTCAACACCTGAGCCATTCTTAGATTGGAGCCGAACGATAAGAGTTGACAAAAGAGTCGGAAAGAGGAAATATATAAAGCAGATAGAACGTGAGCACGATGGATTGGGCGAGGTGGGAGATTTTATAGACAAAGTTAGGGCAATCTTGAAAGGATATGCAGGTAACAAACACATATCCTTTCAAAATTCCATGCTCCATGCTCTATAGAATTTCAATTGTATTTACAGTTGAACCTGTACGGCCACCATACTATCCGACATAAACCCTGTCACAAAGAGCCATGCAAGCTTTTTACCATCCTTCGGCTCAATGGGCACCAAAACAGCCGCACTCGCGGTGCTAATCCTCGACCCATCATCCTCAAACAGCAGCCTTTTCTGCCAGACCCCAGAATTTGAATCGAGGGTCGTATACCACACCTGGACTGGGTGAGGAATCGCAGCATTCGGATCCTTAGAATTCTCCACCATGCGAAGAGCCTGCGAGGCACCGGCCACAAGGTATCCACTCGCATCATGCGAGTCGTCACGGTATGGATCATCATAGTAAGACGGGTTATCCGCGAGAGTACCAACGGAGACCGAGGTATTGATGGAGATCGAGTGGTTCGACTCGTGTCGGGTTGCGAGGAAGACCTCGCCGCCCATAGCGCTGGAAATGATGACTTCGTTGTCGGTGCGGCCGTGTCCGAGGCCGTTGTTGTTCCAGAGACCTGTCAATGCGATGGTTGTGTCGATAGGAGCGTCTTTGCTTGCCAAGTCGGCGATCTGCACATGTATGATGTTGGACCACTTGGCTGAACGCCAGACGTCTTCAATGAGCCGCATGGGCCCGTCGCGATGGAAGTGGTCGTTGGTGACATAGAAGGAGACCGGGCTGAAGGCATAGATGTCGTTGGGGGTTTTGATGAGCGGGTGCTTGATTGAGCGTACATGACGGACGGAATCGGAGTTCAGGACGTGGTGAAAGAGCTCAATCTGAGATTGGGATTTGGCGACATCTTTGAGCTCGCCGGCTTCGAAGTAAGCCGGGTTTGGTATATGATTGACGGCATAGATGTAGACTGCGTCTGACTGCTCGGGATCTCCAATCACATCGATTCCATGCGTCAGGAAGGGACTTTGGAAGTTCTCGAATGCCAGACGAGTTGATTTCATAGTCTATATTGTTAGGGCTTGATTTATAGAAGTTTCTTTGTTTTCCCGATATGTTCAGAACAAACTCACCTTGGGATCCACGACATGGATAGAGCCCTGGGTCATGAGTGGCAGTAAATTGCCTATGGGTGGAAACCAGCTGAACCGCGTGCTCTTGTCGTCTTCGCAGGCAGTGAACAGCAGGTTCGCCGGGCGGTAATGATGCACATCCTCGCAGTGAACGGTATCTTCAATATATATTGGGCCTTGGCCCTCACCGAGCACTGTCGAATTGGGAGTGAGGAAAACTCCAGCAATTTGCACGAAATGACTTATTGGGCCAGCCAAAAAGGCGACCAGAGCGACGAGGCCGAGGCTGAACACGGCGCCGAGTCCCATGTTATTCAGAAGTAGATACGCCCAATGTATCGAGGACTATCTAAAGCAAGATGTGAAGCAAGATGGAAAAAAAGTAAAAGCTTATATTCATGGGCATTCGCACTAAATATTGGACCTCGGGAATCCTCGGTAGTTAGAGATCTACCACTTTTTCCATTTTGGGACTGATACTTATGAATTTCAGATCTTTGTATATATTCCCATATGCAGATGAAGTGCAGATGAAGTAAGAAAGAAAAAAAAACGACTTGAAGGATTTCCATGGTTATATTTAAGCTTATAACCTCGGAATACCTGAATGGGATTAGTGTGATGGCCCCAATACAATGAACAACCGCAAAAAGCAACTGCATTTGGTAAACTATCCTAGGCAAAAAAAAAAAAAAATGATGCAGACTCTTTTTTTTTTTCTTCTTTGTCTGTTTTCATAGGCCAAAAATTCACTCTCATTAAGTCTAGTCATGCTCCTAGACCTCTGCAGGCAAAGTCCGAAAGAAAAAAAGAAATAAATTAAATAAAAAGAGTGCACTTGTGCAAATTCCCAATTCCATGTCGTGTCGTGATGATTTTCCCCAAAGCTTTCTCAGTTTGTAGACTGCTTGGCATCAAGGTATTCTTGATCACTGGCGTCAAGAACATCATATTCTTCGTCAGTCAGGAAGCCAGTGTCGGCGTCAGTAGAGGCATCATCCAGAGTCAGACTCTCAACATCCTCTAGAACATCCACTTCTGAAGCATTCGACAAAGTCGGTGCCTCGGGTGCAGGAGCCTCGGCTTGGTGAGTGCTTGACTCTGGAGATTCCTTCTCCAGCTTGGGGAAGATCATGCCACTGCCGGCAATTTCAGGCACAGCAGGATGTGTCTCGCTGGCGTCGACTTCTTCCAGACAAGCGATCTGCACCTCGACATCACACCACAGACGGTGACCGATGGCCACACCATTCGGAAGTTTCAGTCGCCAGTAGGAGATAGCAGGGCCTGCATGGCATGGTGTGCGAAGGTTGACAGTAAAGTCAGCACTCTCACCTGGCTCTACAGGGGTAGGCAATTTGTTGCTTTCCATGGCCGAGCGAATAGACTCGACGCTAGATGGGTGGCAGACATCGACGTTGAACATCTTGTCTCCACCGACAAAGCGAACATCGCAGCCAACAGGCCATGCTGCAGGACCGGGGTTGTAAAGAGTCCAGGTCTGGCGGAACGTGGTATTTGGGGCGATCTTTGTACCGTCGGTGACAGTGTCACGGATAAAGAATGCCTTGTAGTCTGACATATCAGAGCTATCCGCCTCAGTAATTGGCTTGCTCATGAATAACTCAGGCTCAACCTTTTCCACAGGTTTGCTAGCATCTACATCAACGGGTTCCTGCTTCTCGAGTTCGGCCTGGTCGATGAGCCGAGTAGAGGCATGAAGCTGGTCCCCCAGGGCAACCGTTTCACTCGAGCCATCGTCGCCCAGGGTGCTCACGGTCACATTACGGACGGGAGTGTTAAACTTGACCAGCGGATGAGTGCGGTTGTGGTGATCTGTTGGAAGGGCCTCGCAGCTTGCGCAGAAGTCTGTGTCATCACAGACAGCGCACTTGTAGCGAACTCCGTTGATGTAACTCTGGGCAGGTTTGTTCTTGCACAGAGGACCATCACAGAAGATGCCATAGTGGATTTCGTGCTCACGAGCAGGTTCACCAATGTTTTCGTAAACCTGCACGAACCGATGACCAGGGTGGTTTTGAGGAGCAGTCAAGATACAATCGGGGCAGAAGTCCCAATCGGGGCATGCCAAGCACTTATGACGAACACCAACAATGCGCTAGCAAAAATTAGCCGAGTTGCCTTCAAAGTGAGTTGACGGGGTGAGTAGATACCTTGTCACAGCCGTCACAGACAGCGGCGTGTCGGAACTGCCGACCGGGAAGGCAACGAGAGGTGATCAGATTCTTCAAGCAGAAATTCCGGTCAGATCCAAGGTGGAAGGTGTGACCAGGGTGGTGGCCATGCTTGTTTCGAAGGAGACAGCGAAGGCAAAGATCAAAGTCCTCGCAGTCGTTGCAGCGGACGAGATTGCTTTCATCAGCTTCTGTGTAGTGTGAGCAAAGGAAAAAGAGAAAGACAAAGGAAAGCAAGATAGAGAACACTTACCACGACAGCATCCATTGCACATTGGCTTGTCATCGCCCTGAACGGCTGCATCCAAACAAGCCGATGGGGCCACTGGCTCCGGGATTGACTCCGCAATCGACACGGGGATTGACTCAGTGACCAACTCAGGGACGTGGACCACTGGCTTGGTAATCACCTCGCGCTGAATCGGAGTAGGCAGAACGGGTTTGGACTCCAACGCCGATTGATCACGAGGAGCAATAGTCTCAGTAGTACTATTTGTGACAACACCATCTTTGACGGTCCTCTTAATCAACCAGTGACCTTCGCCGCGGCAAGATACGCCAGCACCAACACATTGTAGGCACAAGTCATAGTCCCCGTTCTCGCAAATGCTGCAGTGATAATGCGCATTTACGATGAATCGACCGCAGTTATTGCAGTCGATGCAGAACATCCCATTGGACGAGGTGTGGGATATGACCGGGAACCGATGCTTTTCTTGATCCATCTCGAAGGGGCGGTAGCGAGGTTGACCGAGAGGCAACTGTTTCTCACCGGCGGGAGAGGAAACTTGGGCCGAGTCGATGAGGGGAATAGTACCGAGAGGCACCAAAGGGCTCAGGACCGTGTCGAGATAACTGTGACGAGTTTGGTTGGTTGACTCCATCGACACAGTGGGTTCTGATGGTACTGGTGTTGGTGCAGATGTGTTTGGGGAAGTAAGGGTAGTGACCTTGATACGGAGCTTCGACTTGGCCTTGGCAGCTCGGTAGAGCTGCTTGTAGACTGCAATGTTGTCACAATCCAAGCGAACGTAAGAACCAGCACTGTCGGAATAGCGTTCAAGGATGACGTTGACATCCGCCGGAACGCCGAGGAGTGTTCTTAGCTAAACCAAAACAACCAAGTCAGCTTGTGTGAGAGGAAAAAAAAAACCGTATTCATTCGCTGCAAGGTTGGGATAAAAATCATTGGAAGGATTCAAAACTTGATCTGGTGATCGCTGGAGATAAGGAATGGGGTCGGACTACAGATCCGGAGCTTGAGCTTAAGTGGAGACTTACCATCTGGGGAAACACCTGGGCTTTCAGCTCCTTGAGAGGAACCTTGAAGCGACGGTTATTGTCATTGTAGAGTACTTTGACAGTAACCAGATGATCAGGACCCGAATGAGAAGCAGTCGATGGGGTTGTCATCGTAGATGTGAAAGTCAAAGGGTGGATACACCACTGAGATAAGGGGCAGTACTAGGATGGGAAAGGAGAATAGCACTGAGTTACGAATAAGAAATAAATGCTGAAAAAGAAAATGATGATTTATGATGGAAAAGAAAAGAAGCAGAAGAGAAGAGAGTCTAAGGAAATAAGAGGGGAGTTGTACAAGAAGCAGTCGACCTGGGAAAAAGCGGAGAGACGGTCAGCTGCTTGCGAACTGAGAGGGAAGGCGGTGACTGCTTACGGATATTACTAATGTGACGTGTAGATGCCAAGACTCTACACTTTGGTACTCCGTACTCCGTACTCCTTGGACTTTGTATGCTTTTTATTCTCGACCCTATCAAAAGGACAAAAGAATGGAGAAAACAGGACACGAAACATGATGTCATGCACTAAGAATGGGGGTTTGATTGGAGGAGATGGGGAAGGGCTAGAATCAATACGTGATTCCCCTATGCGGGGAAAAAAGGAAAACGCTCAAATGCAAATCCAGGGCCAAAATGAGACAAAATTAGAAAACAGAAAACAGAAAACAGAAAACAGCAAAACTTGGCTAGAGAATGTGTAGATGCAGGTTATCAAGAGAGAAAAAAGCAAAGTGAACAAAAGGCCCCTGTAGATCCTGAAGCTGAAAGAAAACCAAGGGAAGATTGAGAGAAAGTTGAGAATAAAGAGATAATTGGTGGAAATAGAGGAAAATGGTGAGATCAGAAAAACAGAAAGAAAGAGATGGTAATAAAGAAAAAAGCGATCGAGGTCATTCATCACTGCCCATAATATTGACCGGATTGTTGCGGGTAGTAAAAGGTCGTGCCTGGCGGTGTCATCATCCCACCCATGCCAACCACACCCCCAGGCCCAGACCCTGGCCCCGTTGGAGCGGGATCTCCGTACATATGATTGGCATCGTAAAAGTAGACAGTGCCACCAGACTCATGAGCAACAGTACCCGGTTGAGGGGGCTGTTCCCCGGCTGAATAGGGCACTGCTTGCTGGCTCGGGAAGTTTGGCATAGAGGCTCCAGGGCCTACGGGTCCATTGTAACCCGTGTAATCGGGACCCGAGGTCGGATAATATATGCCACCTGAAGGATAACTCGGAGGGTAGAAAGCAGGCTGAGGGTAATTGTAAGGCTGGAATGGCGGTGCATGGATCGCCCGCTCCGGAATATGGGAAAGTGGAGTGGCCGAAGGCTGGCTGGGTGGGCCATGGACCGGAAGAGGGACTTGTTGGTGGAAGGGCTGCTCAAGCTGGGGCTGAGGAGGATTGAAAGCGAACGGGAACGTCGCTGGGCTTTCAATGTCTGCAACAGAGACAGTCTTTTGAGGACGAGGTTGGTGCATGGGGATCGGGGCGGGGCGGCTTTCGCGATAAGCCGGGTGAGGAAGTGACATGGCCATCGCAGGCCCAAATGGTGAGATCCCTATAGGCGGACGAGGTGGGGGGGGAGGCGGACAACGGGCTTAGCGTCCGTGGGAATTGTGGGTCTGGAGTAGACAGACCCAGCAGGTGATGGCCAGCCATCCTGAGAAGGTGGAATGCCAAACGAAGATCGGCGGCTGACAACGCTCGGCGTGTAAGAGGAGGTAGGGTAGTAGCTAGGACGTCGTCCACCGTACCAGCCGCCACCACGACCACCTCGACCGCGGGAGACTTGATTTGGCCGCAACGCACGGGGGATGAAGATAAAGGAACGTTCGACCGAGGGGAATATGTATCGGGGTGGCTGACTGGGAAGAGAAATTCGTACAGGTTTATCGCGTCGCAACGGGGGTCGGTGTTGAGGTAGCCGGGTGTGGAGTCTCTTGGGCACGGAAGAAAATTGAACGGGATTGGCCATGCCAGGTAAGGATACTACGACTGGTACATTCCCAACCAACGTTGTGCTAGAGAAGGACCGGTTGGGCGGGGAAGATCTCGGAGCGGTGGGGACAGGTGCGCCAGGATTAGGCATCGTGGATGGTGTTGGGCGCTTTGCTGCAGGTCGATCCTCGCCGGCCACAGTATCGTGGAGGTCGTGTGCCCACTGTCCTCCACTGGAATCGGGTTTGGAAGACCTGAACCATTTTAGTAAGAGACAGGACCCCGAGATGGAATGGGATATAACATACTTGCGAGAGCTACCGTCTACAATCAGGCCGTAGGGACGAGACTTGCTCTTGAGCCGGTGACCGTTGTCTGTGGACCGCTTGTCGTGAAGGAAAAAGCTGCCGCGCGTGGGGACAAAAGCTGGGTTCTGCTCTCGTTCCTTGACATACTTGTCATTCTCGCGGCGCTTTCTGGAAGCCAAATTGTTTCGATTTGGCTCGGTTGGAGGGGCAGAGGGCGTTCTTCCAGTGTGAGGCTCCCGTTCTTCCTTCAGATCGTCGAAATGAAGCTCCGCAGCGTCCCCCGCACCGTCTGAGATCTTGAGGCCGTTCAACATCGCCTCTGTATCCGAGACCGTTGTCTTGAGTCCTCGCTTTCCGGGCGATGCGGAGCTGTTCCGTGTAGATTTGTCCACCCCACGACCGTGGACCTTGTCCGCCTTTGCCAACGTAGAGACCTCGTCCTCGCTTTCTTCGCTGACTTCACCGTCTGCATCTTCGTCTTCTTGGTGGCTGTCAGTCGAGCCTTCACTCAGGGAGTCATCTCCTATATCTCCAGCCATTGAACCCTCTTCTTCGCCATCCTCTTCCCGTCTCTTCCTGCGGCTGGCCCCGATATGACGTCGAAGAGGAGCCATGTTGGAGATACAAGGGATTAATCACTGGAGGGCGTGGTTTAATTGTTCGCTGTTTGACACAGGATTGGCTAAGTGGTTATCGGGACCTGGTTGGCTCAGAGAAAGGAATTTTGCGAGGGCAGTGGGTGTTCAAGGTCGATAAACCGGTGGAATAGCAAACGAAATCAAGATCAAGATATTAAGATTGGCTAGAAGAAACAAAAAGACACCTTGTGCAAGGAGATTAACAAAAGTGAAGAGGAAGAGAAAGAGCAAGGGGAAAGAAGAAAGGAGATGCAACCCAAAGGAGATGAGAAGCACAGAGAGATTCGAGTCCAGATGAAGGGCATGACATCGCGAGAGACGTCAGGCCTGATCGGGCCTAGCTTAGGCGGTGTGGCTGTTTCTGCCACAATTGGGTCTAGAATTGTTTCCTTGATTTGGTTAGTGTCTAACGAACTAAATACAGACAATTATAGAAGGATTTTAGGTCAGACATTGAGGTCAAGCTCGGATTGTTCAGATTTTTGGTAAATTCGAGGTTGTGCCCTGTTATGTAGGCCGGATGTTCTGGTATCCGGAAGTATACATGCATTTTCTTGCGCATTCCACTGCAAGCTGTGCCACCGAATAGTGAACTCGATGATCATGAATATCTGAGAGATTGTACAAATATTGGAAAATTATGACCCGAAGCCCCCGCTTAAGTCACAGGGTAGGCCACGGTCAGAGTTTGATCCTAATGCCACCTCGATTGCAAGTAGATCATTGACAGAGATCAGAATTTCACTGATACATTTGTGTATGAGATGATTGAAAAATCCTGTAGAAAGACCGCGGATGATACTCCGCAAGCCCCAAATGAACAACCTTAGTCAAAGGTGGTCTTCTGGCCTTGGGCCTCGACAATGGCACCACTGAGCTTCTGGACGGTTTCCTTAGAGTAGCGAGACTCATCAATAGGTTCAGATCTCTTCTTGTTGTACCGGGGTCTTTCTCGTGGTTCGCCATCGACTTCAGTGATAGCGGATTCGTCCTTCTTTTCAGCATCTTTTCCAAAGCGCTTCTTGTATCGTACAGACGCCTCTTCGGCAAACTCCATGCGCATACGACGACCCATGAGCTGGTTCACCCAAACCCTTTGCATCCGGGGCTTGAGCTTCTTCGACTTCTTCTTCTTCTTCTTCTCAGATGCCGAGTCGGAATCGGAATCAGAATCACTGTCGGAGGACTCCTCTTCTCCGTCATCCTCCTTGATCAACATAAATCCTCTCACCGCTGCTTCTGCGGCGGCGAGTTCTTCAAACTCCACCCACGCATAACCCTTGCATTTTCCTGAATCTTGGAAAGTCGCCATATGCACGTTGGTAACAGTCCCGCATTTGGCGAAGTTTTCCTCGAGGTTTTCCTTGGTCACATCGAAGCTCAGGTTGCCGACAAAGACTCGCTTGGAGGGAGGGTGGCCAGACTTGGCCGCAGCATTCTCTTGGGTTTCGGATTTTTCAGGGCGGCCTTCATAGCTGTTCGCATCCTTGATGAGCACGCGGCGACCGGCCATGAGCTGCTCGCTTAGGCCAATTGCTTCTTGCAAGGACTTCTTGTCCTTGAAGTCGACGTAAGCAAAGCCTTTGTTCTGCGACCTTCCAAATCTTTCGGGACCCTTGGGAAGATGAATTCGAGTGATGGCTGACTCGGAAATGTCAGAGTTGACTGTGAGGAACATGCGCAGCTCTTCACTGGTCACTGCGAAAGATAGGTTTCCAATCCAGATACCATATTTGGACCGCTTTCCCTCTGTTTCGGCTTCTTTGGATTCGGGTTTGCTGGGCTTGCTGGACTTGGGTTTTTCATCATCTCCCTCATCACCTCCTTTGTTCTTTTTCGCTTTGCGCAGAGCCTTCTTTGAGACTGGCTCGGGTGCAGAGACATCGATTTCAATTTCAGGGCCGTCCTGCAGCTTGCGCTTCTTTTGACTGACCTCGGTGATCTCCGACATGGTGCAAGCAGTGTAGATGGTGTGAAGATCACTAAAACAATTGTCAACCAGAAGTCTAAGGTTGTCAAAAGAAATCGGGTTGCCAATAATTTAATTTTTTTTACGGCGGCCAGGACCCGCCTCCCACGCAGCCGGGATCCGCTCCTTGGCGTGAACGCGCAGGGTGACCACATCCCCCTTCATCTCTTCTGAACTTCTTCCCGCCGTATCACCATGGCAGAACCAAACGAACCCCATTTTACCGCTGAAAGTTTGCCAAATGCAGTGCCTTCTATACCGGCTCCTGCAAAGCAATCAGTCCGGTCCTTCAAGTACGAGTATTCACAATCAGCCCATCGGACAACGCTGACTCTTTTTTCTACAGGAAGAAATATGCCAAATTGAAGGTCAGGTTTGAGCTGGGAACTCGGGAAAATGAGAGTTTAATTCGGGAAGAATTGCGCATAGAGGATCTATCCAAGCGCATCCAAGAGCAAAACGAGTATGTGACCTACAAACCACCCCCTTGTATGAATAATCGCTAATTTCTTGTTGTTAGTCAATTGCTGGAGGTTCTCCTCGAGTTCAACGAAAGCCTACATGTTTCTCCCGATGTCCGATTCGATCTTAGCATGCCAACCGACCCTCCGTTGCTACCAACCCCCCAGCAGGAAATCGTACCTTTGATCAATGATGCAACACTGGCCAAACAAACATGGAAGGAAGCCAAAGCTGGCTTGGCTGCCGGTAACATTGATACGGGTGCTTATCGTATGATTGAAGATAACATCAAACGAAACAAGGCGTTTGCACCAGCCCAGCAGTATAGCTCCCTGATACAGTCTCATCACATCACTCCAGACATTGTTGAAAAGAAGCCTTACAATGACTGTGAAAGCCAACTTGGATACTTTACGCCTGAGCATGAAACCGAATACTACCTTGCCTTGGACGCCAAGCTAGGCGATGAGGCCGCTGCTACGCAGCTTGCACGCATTCCAGATCGTCCCACGTTTGCGGAACGTGAGCGCGATCTTTCCATGCGGAATCCCGCATCTGTGTACAATTGGCTGCGTCGCAACCAACCGCAGACTCTCCAGGATAATGAGATTGCTTCTGAAAAGTCTGCATCACGCCCTTCGAATCAGCGATCGTCCAAGCGAGCGCCGGCTCAGCGCAAAGATGAGGATATGTATGACGAAGACGGGACAGAGGCCCAGCCTACTCCCAAGAACAAGCGCAAACGCGACGAGGACACTGGATATAGACCCAAGGGTGGTAGCAGCCGGTCCAAAAAGAAGAAGGAAGAGCCTACTTCGAACCCAAGCAAAGTGGCCAAAAAGCCTTGAGCAGTTCCGAGGGCTTTATAAAAGGGCATTCTTTTATGTATTAATACCGGCGTTGGCTTGAATTACTGGCTTCAAATGATACGATGGATCATTGGCATTTTTTAGTTCCAATATATAGTCATGAACATGTAGGCTCCATGACATATTTAGCCAATTCCAATTTTCGTGCACTTTCTTTGTAAATATCCTTGAAAGTCGATTCTGATAGTCGAGTCATCACGTGATCTGGTTTTTCTTTCTGGCAACCCGTCTGGACGCTGTCCACCCGCATAGGAAAGGCAACCGCAATCAATCACAGACAACATCGTTTGTAATGGCGATCACTATACTTCCCCCAGTAGTAGAGGATTCCCGTCTCTACGAAGTCGACTCAAATGACTCCATGTCCGTGGACTCCGAGGACGACGTCGAAATGACTGGCATCTCTCGGCCTCACAAGCGACCCCGTTTACAAGGAAGCTCGAATATTGGCACAGGAATTGTCACACCTGGAGAAGTAGTCACAGATGATCCGCAATGGATGAGGTAGGTACAACCTTGAAGATTGCGCGAAAAAAAAAAAAAAAAAAGCGCGGGGCTTACATTGTCAATTCTTTTTTTCAAACACTAATCATTAACAGAGGCCACGGCACCTATATGAATCCGCTTTCGACATCTATTATTGCCACCGTTGCCGGCACAGTTCAAAAGACAAACAAGCTACTATCTGTTCATCCTATGCGGGCCCGCTATACCCCCGAGATTGGAGATCTGGTCGTTGGCCGCATTGTGGAAGTGCAATCACGACGCTGGAAGGTCGATGTTGCTGCGCCGCTCCTTGCGCAGCTCCCTCTCTCTGCAATCAACCTGCCCGGCGGTATTCTGCGTCGACGAACAAGCGCCGACGAGCTCCAGATCCGAACTTTTTTCAGCGAAGGCGACCTTGTAGTTGCCGAAGTGCAAAGCGTACACCAAGATGGGTCGGCATCACTACACACACGGTCCTTGAAGTATGGTAAACTGCGCAATGGCGTGTTCCTTGCGGTTGCAGGAACTGGAGGCAGCGGGGCGTCTAGCTCTAGCGTTAAGGGCGGTGTTGGATCTGCGACCTCGGCCTCCGGGAGCGCTTTGGCTGCTCCTGGAGGTTCTGGTACTGGCGGTGTGGTGCGGTCCCGTCGACAGGTGTGGACGGTTCCAACTGCCAATGGTGGTGGCGAAGTGAATATCATCCTTGGAGTGAATGGGTACATCTATATCTCCAAGCATACCGATGGAGCAGATGCCACGTCCTCGACTACGGAGAATGTTTCCATCACGCGCATGGAAGAGATGGTGTCGAGTTCGATCTACTCTAGCCAAAACGACGATATCCCGCCCCAGACCCGTCGAGAAATTGCACGATTGGCACAGTGTATTCGAGTTTTGGTACAAAGCGGAGTGCGTGTGGATGAAGAGACGGTTATGGGGGCCTACAATGCCAGCCTGCAGGTGGATCTGGAGATTGGGGACGATGAGGACGAGGAAGATGAATGGCGACAAGAAGGTCGTGAGTATTTGGAGGGTGCTAAGGCCCAACAGATCCTTGAATTGGTGAAGCAACAACTGTAACAGGTTTTAGCTACTCGCATGTATGATAATGATACCCCTCAGACAAAGATACAAGGGAACATCTAAGAGGTGTAATGTCGAAGTCCATGTCCAAACTATACGAAGATTGTTAACTGTAGATTCACCATTTGAACGTCTCTTCTATTTTGAAGGGATTCAAGTTTATATATTGATGACAAACGGTGTCAAAATGGCTGCATGCCCTTGCAAGTGGATGTCTCTGCCATAAAGTGGATCTGTATACAACATAGGCCAATCATCAGTGATGATATTTGATTATATTTCCGATTATATTCCCAAGGTTGACTAGGTACTTGTTGAATATTGTAAGAGACATATGAGTTGATAGCATAGGACTCGTGAAGAACAATGATCATTCTGCCGTAGAAAGAAATCGAATATAACTTAGAACAATGTGAATAGTGTGAATAGCCTGAATAATAGCCTGAATAATAGCCTGAATAATAGCCTGAATAATAACACGAATGACCAGAACAATAACCTGAATGAATAATATCTCATTGGTGGAAAGTAAAGTAGAGGGAACCCTGGAGGGATTCCAGGCTTACATACGCAGTCACGAGTCAAGGGTCTATTGTTCTTTTGTTCTCTTCTTCTTCTTCTTCTTCCTCTTTTCACTGTACTCGAATCTTTGAGAACATGCCCAACTACTTTCATCCTATTCTTCTGATTTTTGACTATTGTCTAGTACCCATAGGTTAACCTTTTCTTGACTTGATTCTTTCTACTGGGGTTGTCTTTTACCATTTCAACTATCCTCAACTCAACTTAGCTACTTCAAAATGCCCGATCTACGTCGCCAGGTCTTGGAGAGCGGCAAAACTGTCTCGCGCAAGGCAGCTTCCCGTGAAGCATCCCGCACCAACTCCCCCACCAGTTCGAAGCCGACGTCCCGCCAGGGCTCTCGTAATGCAAGCAGAGCTCCTTCGGATGACGAAGACTCGGGATTCCTATCCGATGAAACATCTATGAGGTACGTGGAATTCAACCCCTTGCATTTTTCGCCTATCTTTTTTTCCCTTCCAAGTTTTTTTTTTTTTTGTATCTTCACATGGTCCCCACTCCCATGACGGGATGATGTCACCGACCTTGAAATGATGTCGGCAAGTTTGATAAAGGCACTAACCAAATTGGGACAGCATTGGATCTCTCGACGATGAGAACCCCGAACAAGATAATCCCGATTGGGAACACGATCTCGGCCAGCGCATTCAAGAAATTCTTGATCGCAAGCGCAGCAGTGTCCAAGGCCGCGAGGAGGCCCTTCAAGCATTCTGTCGCCTGACCAAATATCACTATACAGTGGAAGAAATTCATGGCGCCGTTCCAGATCTACTGGCGGCATTTGAACGAAGCATCCGCACTGAGGTCAGTGTGCGCGAAGCAACACTTGGCTTGCGTGCTATCGAATTGCTTGTCATCTCAGCTTTTGATAGCACCGTCTACGAAAATACCGAGCCCTTGCTCACCCGCACCGTCCGTGACTCCACCTCCCCTCTTGTCAAAACAGCCGCTATCCACTGCCTCGGCGCATGCACCATCTTCGGAGGTGCCGGTGAAGATGGCATCCTTGAACAGATGGGTTTCCTCCTGGACATCATCGCCTCTGACGGCCAATCCATCGATGCCACAGATGACCCCGCAATTGTGACCGCCGCCCTCCAGCAATGGGGATTTCTCGCCACCGAAGTCGAAGATTTCGAAGAAGAAAGCGAAGAGGCAGTCCAAATCTTCATGGACCAACTCGACAGCTCTGACTCCAATGTGCAGATCGCAGCAGGCGAGAACATCGCCCTACTGTATGAGAAGAGTTACACTCCCCAAGAGGAAGACGAGGACGAAGAGAGCGTAGATTCAGATGAGGATAGTGACGAACATGAGCACGATGCCACGTCCGGTCCCAAGCTCGTAAAACGATACAACGCTTACCACAACACTCCCGAGCTGGAGAGCCAACTTCAGAACTTGGCCACCATCCATGGTAAACAAATCAGCAAGCGTGACAAGAAGTCTCTTCACAGCAACTTTGCCTCGATCCTCACTACTGTCGAGAATCCACGCCGTGGCCCTCGCTACAACACCGCCATCGACCAGAACACCAATCGCCACTACGGCAGCACTCTCACCGTCAAAATCGGCCGCCACGGTGTCATGACTATCGATCGCTGGTGGAAGTGGTTGCGACTTAATGCTCTGCGCCGCATCCTGCAGGGCGGCTTTTCCGAACACTATTTCCAGGGCAACCGATCCGTTCTCAATAGTCTTCCTGTCATGATGCGCATGGCAGATCAAGGCCACGGCTCGGTGGACCGTCAGGGTGCACGCAAGGCAGCCAAGTTGCGCAATTCGCGTCGCTGGGCTACTCATCAATCCGACGATGATGACGAGTAATTTTGTGCTCACATCGGTGATGGTTCAGCAATAGAATGGCGAAATCAAAGAACAAATTGCTTTTCGGTTTTCAGCCTTTCAATTATCAATATGAGATACGAAGGCTAAGGGTTTTTTGCGACATGGAGGATGTTAGTTTTGCATAAGCCTTGAGTTATGAGCTTTGTTTCCGTGTCATTTCGTTGATGTTTCCCTGCGTCTCTGTTGTTTTCATCTCTCCATTTGACTTGTTTATGATTCAGTACCGAACTTTGTGCCTTAGGGAATGATACTGTGCATTGAACATTACGAAATTTGATAAACCGTCCAAGACGATACATCCTAGGAAGGAGAATTGTAAAATTTATCTTGAAATAGAGTGAAGAAGGTCCTACCCAAAACAACTCGCCCGCAGGCCAAAGCCCTTTCTCGTTGTAGTCTTTGTTTTGCATGTCCAATGATAACGAATAGGACAACCAGAAAAAGCCACTCACCAACAACCAGTCTAACCCTCTAAGCCTCAAACACAGGCACAACATTAGACCAGCTCCCCCTAGCCCTCTCATCCCAATATCCATCCTTCCCACCCTTAAGCCGCCAAGCAACCTCCCCATCGGAGTCATCACTAACCCGCGTAAACCAGCGCGGAATCCAACTCTCCCCAGCATTTTCCATCTCGCGCCTGCGCGCACGCTGTCCCTCCTCAAGCTGCACCTTGACTTGCTCCGCGTGGTCAAGGTCACCGTTTTCCAGAGCGCGCTGATCAGGACGCAGACGTGAGTCTGTGACAGGCAAATGTTTATCCTCGATGGAGGTGATTTCATTGAGCGTGGCCGCAAAGGATGTGAGACCGTAGTGCTTTGGCGCGGAGGGGACAAGTGAGCCAGCGGTCCAGATAGTATTACCGGTGGGGTTACCGTCGCGGGTGAGAGTCAGCGAGGAGGGCCAGGAGCCGGACAAACCGAGAGGTAAGGGGTTGTTATTTGCGTCCACGGCGCGGGTGGAGACCTCCTCGCTGCGGC